TGACACCAACGACGGGGCACTATTCCTCCCACTGACACCAACAACGGGGCACTATTCCTCCCACTGACACCAACGACGGGGCACTATTCCTCCCACTGACACCAACGACGGGGCACTATTCCTCCCACTGACACCAACGACGGGGCACTATTCCTCCCACTGACACCAATGATGGGGCACTATTCCTCCCACTGATACCAATGATGGGGCACTATTCCTCCCACTGATACCAATGATGGGGCATTATTCCTCCCACTGACACCAATGATGGGACACTATTCCTCCCACTGATACCAATGATGGGGCACTATTCCTCCCACTGACACCAATGATGGGGCACTATTCCTCCCACTGATACCAATGATGGGGCACTATTCCTCCCACTGACACCAATGATGGGGACACTATTCCTCCCACTGATACCAATGACGGGGCACTATTCCTCCCACTGATACCAATGATGGGGCACTATTCCTCCCACTGACACCAATGATGGGGCACTATTCCTCCCACTGATGTTGGGGCACTACCTGATACCAATGATGGAGCACTATTCCTCTCACTGATACCAATGATGGGGCCCTATTCCTCCCACTGACACCAACAATGGGGCACTATTCATTCCAGAGACACCAATAAGGGGCACTATTCCTCCCACTGACACCAACGATGGGGCACTATTCCTCCCCACTGACACCAATAAGGGGCACTATTCCTCCCACTGATACCAATGAGGGGCACTATTCCTCCCACTGATACAATGTTGGGGCACTATTCCTCCCACTGACACCAATAATGGGGCACTATTCCTCCCACTGACACCACGATGGGGCACTATTCCTCCCACTGATACCAATGATGGGGCACTATTCCTCCCACTGACACCAATGATGGGGCACTATTCCTCCCACTGATACCAATGATGGGGCACTATTCCTCCCTCTGACACCAGTGATGGGGCAGTATTCCTCCCACTGACACCAACAATGAGGCACTATTCATCCCACTGACACCAACGTTGAGGCATTATTCATCCCACTGACCCCAACGTTGAGGCATTATTCATTCCACTGATACCAGTATGGGGCACTAGTCCTTCCACTGACACCAGCGGATGGGGCACTAGTCCTTCCACTGACACCAACGGTGGGGCACTATTCTTCCACTGACACCAACGGTGGGGCACTAGTCCTCCCACTGACACCAACGGTGGGGCGCTGTCCTTCCACTGACACCAACGGTGGGGGCTAGTCCTTCCACTGACCAACGTATGGGGCACTAGTCCTTCCACTGACACCAACGGTGGGGCGCTAGTCCTTCCACCGACACCAACGGTGACGCTCTATTCCTTCCACTGACACCAACAATGGGGCACTATTCCTTCCACTGACACCAACAATGGGGCATGGTTTACTCCCACGGAAGCAAGGATAGTGTCTACTTCCGCTGGCCCCCTAAAGTCTGAAGGAAAGTAAAATGGCCTTTTGTTTAGGAAGTTTGGAGAGCCCTGTCTGAGGAGAACAGACAGAGGCAACTGAAGACAGAAGAAAACTCTCGCCAGCTCCAGTTCCATCCAGACCTAGGCATCAGGCTGAGAGTCACACGGATAGATCCGGGATGTACTGCTTTCTGGACCCCTGGGCTGACAACGATAATTGCTTTGTGTGCAGTGCGTATTGCACTGGAAGGAGTAATGGCGGCAAAGCCAAAACCGGGAGAAACGGGCACACCATGCGCTGGTGCAGCGTCCTGCGACACCCCCCCCAAGTTACAAGACCCCGCCTGCGCAGATCAGATGCAAGGGGGGGACTGGCAGAATCACCAGGCACTGCACAGCGAATAAAGAAAGAAAAGAAAGGGCAGGGTGGTCCTAATCACCGGAGTGATTCCGGGTCACCGAAATCCAAATGCTGACACAGCTACACATCTGTTCCAGCAGCCGACCTTTGTGCCCTTCAGTGGAAGAGGCGCACCACACCATGAAGATGGCCGGCGCGGTGCACAACGACGTGCGGGAACAGAGCATTGGGTGCGCTCCGCCGCCTGCAGCTCATACTACATACAGGGAGACCGTGCCAGCTCATCGGGGAAACGTGTTAATGTTTGATTCACATTACTCCTCACCAGGGACTTGTGTTGCCAGCCAATTAATTCCATCTGTTTATGGAGGGGGGAATGGGAATTCCGACTGCCGGCTGCGTATTTCACTGCGCGTATTCTACCCTCACCCACGAGTCCAACCCGCGTTACCGGGTGAGGATTCCCAAAAGCCTGAAGTGACTCAAAACTGAACTCCAGGCTGGAACTAATGCCGTGCTATGGGCCCTGCCGTGGGCCCCTGTAATGCCCCTGCCGTGGGCCCCTGTAATGCCCCTGCCGTGGGCCCCTGTCCTTCCTGCACTGCAAGGGTTAAAGTGGTTGTAAGCACTGCCATATCCCCAGTGAAGCTAGAAGATATAAAACAAATCCTCTTACATAAGTTGTACCTGTTTATCTGCCTTCTTCTCTTCATCTGTACAAGTCCAGAAGGGGGAGGGAGGAGAGGAGAGGGAGGGGAGGAATGCACCCCCCTCCACACAGCACACAGGAACAGAGCTGAGGCTGTCATTCACAGGCTGTCTGCTTAAAACGCAAAACACATCAAAGACGCACTCCATGCTTTTCTTCAGCATTTCCATTGAAGTCTATGGAACCAAAAACTCAACTTTTTGTGATCAGCGAAATCCCTGACCCTGTGCACCTGGGTAAGGGCTCCTTCCCACTAGCTGTTGGGGGGGGGGGGCAGTAAAACCCACAGTTAAGCTGTGCATATTTCCCCCCCCCCCAATCACTACCCCCTTTAGCTGCAGAGGCGGCAGCCAGGGGAGCGCTGCGAGTGCACACAGGCCAGGGGAGCGCTGCGAGTGCACACAGGCCAGGGGAGCGCTGCGAGTGCACACAGGCCAGGGGAGCGCTGCGAGTGCACACAGGCCAGGGGAGCGCTGCGAGTGCACACAGGCCAGGGGGAGCGCTGCGAGTGCACACAGGCCAGGGGAGCGCTGCGAGTGCACACAGGCCAGGGGAGCGCTGCGAGTGCACACAGGCCAGGGGAGCGCTGCGAGTGCACACAGGCCAGGGGAGCGCTGCGAGTGCACACAGGCCAGGGGAGCGCTGCGAGTGCACACAGGCCAGGGGAGCGCTGCGAGTGCACACAGGCCAGGGGAGCGCTGCGAGTGCACACAGGCCAGGGGAGCGCTGCGAGTGCACACAGGCCAGGGCCACGATGACCACAGCAGGAATTAGACCTCCTGTTGCTTTAGGTGGGCTTGGCACCCATTAAAAGTGAACAGAGCACCCCAGCAACAGTGTGCAATGCCTTGGATGTGGTGCGACAATGCGGGGATCAAGGGGTTAAAGCCTTGGTGATAAGCCTCCTCGCTGCCTGTCAAATGCTCTCTAAAGAGTGATCCAAATGTGGACCACTCTTCAGAGGACAGAGCTTGTGTGAATGAGGCATGTGACCACGTTCCTAGCCCAGACATGTTCTGGTCTGGAAAGCCGGTGGCCCCCAGGAAACAAGACCCCAACTTCCTCTCCAGAATCCCGCTCCCGTACCTGGCAGGGGGAGGCATGAGAGCCATGAATCTGCTATGGCCAGTAGGGGGCGTATTTTCTTCCTCCTCTCTGTCCGGGGGCAGATTTGGGTGGGAGGAAGCGACTGATTCCTTGTAGGATCCCTGTGACCGCTCTCTCCACCCGTGACACACATTCTGTCCAGGAAACTTCCTCCAGCTAATCAGAGCGACACTCGTGAGACGTGAAACGCGATCCGGCAGCCATGGGACACCGAAAGCCAAACACCCCGCCAGAGACACCCGAGATATTAATTATTAACGCAAGGCACAGATCCACAGCAAACATGCTCGGCACCCTGCGAGTGTTACAAGCCAGAGATAAGAGCGTGCCAATACTAGGCAGGACGGCCATTGTGTGGGATGTTATTACGGAGTCTCCACCTATCACAGACCTGGGGCCCCGAGTTCCTGCGGCGGCGGTCAGATCCAACGCACTGCTTACTTCTAGAGGTTGTGAGCCCCACACATGAAATAGAGAACATTGAAGGATCCTTCATCGAAGGAATACAGAGTGTCCTCCAAACGGGGCTGAGCGAGCGACCTGCATTCAGAAAGCAGCAGGACAGCCAATCAGTACAGTACAGGGTCCACACTGATGCGGTACAGAATTTGCAGCATTTTCTGTGTGAATTCCACACCGCATCACAAATCGCACCCCGTTCATGCGAACCGCTGCGGGTGTGTATGTTAAGCTGACAACCCACCCCCCCAAAAATCGGTCCGCAAAACGCAGTGCGATGTGCAGTATCAGATCACATAGGTGTGAATTACCAGCGTTTTCTGTGTGAATTCCGCACTGCATCAGAATTGCACCCCGTTCATGCGAACCGCTGCGGGTGTGTAACAAAACCCCGAAATCAGTCCGCAAAACGTGGTGCGATGTGCAGAATCGGATCACATAAGTGTGAATACCCAGGCGATCCGATTCTAGTGCGGACCAAGAAAAGGGTCCTGTACCTTTTTGGTGGGGGTGTGATTTCAGCCATACCAAATGTACAACTCCAATCGCACCGCACACAAATCGCATGCAATTTGTACAGGAATGCAGTGGGGTTTCTGTTCGAATCACATGTGATGTACCGCACTGCATGTATGTAAACCCGGCCAGCTAGCGGAGAGGACCAGTGGTGCCCAATACCATCATTGTCAGCTTACACAGGTCTGGTATTTATACTGCCACATATGGCAAGGAGAAAATAAAAAACCGTACAGGTAAAAGAAGGAAAGAGAAAAAAAAGTTTTTTTAAAAAATGAAAAGAAAAAAAAAAATTATTATATTATATATATATATATATATATACACACACACATATATTATATATACATACATATATACACACACACACATATATACATATACATATATACACACTATATAGCCAAAAGTATTGTCCCCCGCCCTCTGAATCATGTGATTCAGGTGTTCCAATCCCCTCCCAATCATGTGATTCAGGTGTTCCAATCCCCTCCCAATCATGTGATTCAGGTGTTCCAATCCCCTCCCAATCATGTGATTCAGGTGTTCCAATCCCCTCCCAATCATGTGATTCAGGTGTTCCAATCCCCTTCCAATCATGTGATTCAGGTGTTCCAAATCCCCCTCCAATCATGTGATTCAGGTGTTCCAATCCCCTTCCAATCATGTGATTCAGGTGTTCCAATCCCCTCCCAATCATGTGATTCAGGTGTTCCAATCCCCTCCATATCATGTGATTCAGGTGTTCCAATCCCCTCCATATCATGTGATTCAGGTGTTCCAATCCCCTCCATATCATGTGATTCAGGTGTTCCAATCCCTCCATATCATGTGATTCAGGTGTTCCAATCCCCTCCATATCATGTGATTCAGGTGTTCCAATCCCCTCCATATCATGTGATTCAGGTGTTCCAATCCCCTCCATATCATGTGATTCCGGTGTTCCAATCCCCACCATGGACACAGGTGTATACAATCAAGCCCCTAGGCATGCAGACTGCTTCTACAAACATTGGTGAAAGAATGGGTCGCTCTCAGGAGCTCAGTGACTCCAAGCGTGGTCCCGTGATAGGTGGCCACCTGGGCAATAAGTCCATCCGTGACATTTCCTGGCTACTAAATATTCCACGCTCAACTGTTAGTGGGATTATAACAAAGTGGAAGTAACTGTGAACACAGCCACCTCAGCCACCAAGTGGTAGGCCACGTCACATGACAGGGCGGGGTCAGCGCATGCTGAAGCGCACAGTGCGCAGAAGTCACCAACTGTCTGCAGAGTCAATAGCTAAAGACCTCCAAACTTGGTGTGGCCTTCAGATGAGCCCAACAACAGTGCGTAGAGAGCTTCATGGAATGGGTTTCCATGGCCGAGCAGCTGCATCCAAGCCTTCCATCACCAAGTGCAATGCAAAGCGTCGGATGCCGTGGTGTAAAGCACGCTGCCACTGGACTCTAGAACAGTGGAGGCATGTTCTCTGGAGGGACCAATCACGGTTCTCTGTCTGGCAATTCGATAGACGTGTCGGGGTTTGGCGGTTGCCAGGAGAACGGTACTTGCCTGACTGCATTGTGCCAAGTGTAAAGTTTGGTGGAGGGGGGATTATGGTGTGGGGTTGTCTTTCAGGGGTTGGGCTTGGCCCCCTAGTTCCATTGAAAGGAACTCTTAAGGTGGTATTTTGGACAATTTCATGCTCCCAACTTTGTGGGAAGAGTTTGGGGATGGCCCCTTCCTGTTCCAACATGACTGCCCACCAGTACACAAAGCCCATAAAGACATGGAGCCAGTTTGGGTGGAGGAACTTGACTGTCCTGCACAGAGTCCTGACCTCAACCCCATAGAACATCTTTGGGATGAATTAGAGTGGAGACTGCGAGCCAGGCCTCCTCCCCCGACATCAGTGCCTGACCTGACAAATGTGCTTCTGGAAGAATGGTCCAACCTTCCCATAGACACCCTCCTAAACCTTGTGGACGGCCTTCCCAGAAGAGTTGGAGCTGTTATAGCTGCAAAGGGCGGGGCCAGCTCAATATTGAACCCTACGGACTAAGACTGGGGGGCCATTAAATGTCATGTGTGTGGAAAGGGCGGGGTCAACTCAATATTGAACCCTACGGACTAAGACTGGGGGGCCATTAAAGGTCATGTGTGTGGAAAGGGCGGGGCCAACTCAATATTGAACCCTACAGACTAAGACTGGGGGGCCATTAAAGGTCATGTGCGTGGGAAGAGCGGGGCCCCAATACTTGGGGCAATACAGTGTACATACATGGTCCAAGCTGGGTCATCACAACTCTGGATATACTGCCACACCTGGAATTCAGCTTTCAGATCTCAAGGTCACTATTGGAGGACAAATATCCTAGAAATGGCTAAGAGGTAACAAAGGATAATAAAAGTGAAGAGTAAACAATGGTTTCTGACAGACCGCACTTTACCAATACAAATGTTGTCTGTTAGGGCTGACACCAGCTTTACATTTATGAACACAAGCATTTCCTGAACACCCGCCGACACCCAGCCTCGCCCCCACACACACACATGGTCACGCAGTAACCGTCACTGTTGTCACAACCTCAGTTGTCAGTTGCCTAGCAGCAAAGCGTCCACACATGACATATAACGGGCAATGCAAGGAAACACGTAGCTCTGTCCTCAGACACCCGGCGGACCGGTGTCACTGAATCTGCTCTCTGAACTGATCTCTATTGATGTCTATGCCAAGGACTGCCATGATTTCCAGTCACTGTAGAAGAGATTTGTACTTTTCTATTTTCACCTTCTCTTCTCTCTGTGCTGCTGATCCCCTGCAGCCGCTGCCACTCTGCCTGATCCCCTGCAGCCGCTGCCACTCTGCCTGATCCCCTGCAGCCGCTGCCACTCTGCCTGATCCCCTGCAGCCGCTGCCACTCTGCCTGATCCCCTGCAGCCGCTGCCACTCTGCCTGATCCCCTGCAGCCGCTGCCACTCTGATCCCCTGATCCCCTGCCACTCTGACTGATCCGCTGCCACTCTGACTGATCCCCTGCAGCCGCTGCCACTCTGCCTGATCCCCTGCAGCCGCTGCCACTCTGCCTGATCCCCTGCCACTCTGACTGATCCCCGCTGCCACTCTGACTGATCCGCTGCAGCCGCTGCCACTCTGACTGATCCCCTGCAGCCGCTGCCACTCTGGCTGATCCCCTGCAGCCGCTGCCACTCTGACTGATCCCCTGCAGCCGCTGCCACTCTGACTGATCCCCTGCAGCCGCTGCCACTCTGACTGATCCCCTGCAGCCCGCTGCCACTCTGACTGATCCCCTGCAGCCGCTGCCACTCTGACTGATCCCCTGCAGCCGCTGCCACTCTGACTGATCCCCTGCAGCCGCTGCCACTCTGACTGCTCTCCGCGGTGATGGCTGCATGGAATATCTCAGAACAGGCTTCCACATGGTGACAGTGTTTACTATGTAATCTGTGTTGGCGTGGCCGCTTGTAGCTTCCATGTAATAGGGTGACAACACAGATACACAGCATAGTCACCCTACAGTCATGTGACCCCCTGAGTCAGTGAACAGCAGCTGCAGGGGAGAAGAGAGAGCGAGAGAGCGCTTTACAATTGCTGACAATTCACCACAATATAAATTATACAAAAATTCTAGTACTGATAGTGGGAACCCCTCATAATGGGCACAGCAGGTGTACAGACCCAGGAACTCAGCATAGGGATGGTGGGAACCCCTCATAATGGGCACAGCAGGCGTACAGACCTCAAAACTAAGCCCAGGGATGGTAGGAGCTTCAAATAATTGTCATAACAGGTATGCAGACCCGGGAACTCCGTATAAGAATGTCACCAATAATGTTCCCAGTTATGTGCATGGGAACAGCCATACTTATATTATATATACAAAGCAGTTAAAAAACAAAAAAACAAAAGCCAGAGTAACTGCACTATGTCATTAAGAGCGCCCTCTAATGACCAAACTATATATCTAAAAAACACACAAATATGGAAGAGCAAGTATGTAAAAATTCAAACATCACATCAGAGATTCCTTTACAGCAAATATTGGAATACCTCAATGTACATTTTCTCATTTTCTTTTTTATAACAGGGTGAGCAGAGATCACAAACAACATTCTAGGTGGGACTTATGAGATCAGGTAACCCACATATGGACATCCAGTGCCAGGATAAAAAAAAAAAAAAAAGAAGGTCCTCTGACACCCAAGGCAAAGATGCCAAAAACGTGACCCTACACAAAACATCTTTATTGATAAATTGAAAAAAAAAAAAAAAAAAAAAAGATAAAAAAAAAAAAAGACAAAAAAATAAAAAAAATCACCAAAAACGACAAAAAACAAAAAATGACAAAAAAAAAAAACAAAAAACAAAAACAAAACCCCCCAAAAAACAAAACAAAAATGACAACAAAAAAAACAAAGAAAAACAAAAACAAAAAAAAAAAAAAAAAAAAAAAAAAAACCCCAAAAACAAAACAACAACAAAAACGACAAAAAAAACAAAAACAAACAAACAGTTGTCACACTGACAGCCTGGCCAGATTACACTGGGAGATCCGCTCTTCCTTTGTTATCACATGACTCCGCTGTCTGTGTGACGGCTGTCTTCCATGATAAGAAGCGGGGACAGCCTTCACACAGCCAGCCGGGCCCCTTTGAGGGACCGATCTCCGGTGTACACAAACAGTAGGGCCGACCTGTCTGATGGACCTGCAGAGCGGAGGACAGGTCCAGGGAGAAGAAGCAGAAGACTCCCCAGCTATGCCCTCACCACCACAGTAGGATGCCTATCCCCTGCCTCTGGGTCGGCCTGGCTCTGGGTCGGCCTGGCTCTGGGTCGGCCTGGCTCTGGGTCGGCCTGGCTCTGGGTCGGCCTGGCTCTGTGGACACCCCACACTGAGCTGGACTCCTCATCACACACAAGCAGACGCTCCCACTTACCAATGCTGAGTACAATGCTGGCCGTGTGCTCGAAGCTGAAATAGCGGATTATGTTGCAGAAATTAAAGGACATCAAAAGGAAGCAAAGCATGACGGAGATCCATTCTTGTAACCGCTTCCCTGCAAGAAAGGAGAAGAAATCACGGGTCAGACTACAAAACACTCAATAGATCATCACAATAAAGATAACAGTGCGGCAGTGTAAACAGACGGCACAATATCTGGCAGATGTTTAGCTCGAATGAAACGGACAATCTGAAGAAAAAGGGACAAGGGAGAGGCAGCAACTAACCAGAGCCAAACCATCATTACATTTAATGACACCTAAAGCAGAACTCCGGGATAAGTAAATATTGTGCAAATACAAGAGCCATGTGTATTCTTCCTTGGATCCGTGTATTCCTTCCAGATCTGTGCAGTCATCCAGGGTGAGACTTCCTGTAATAAAGACCACTCACTGCTGCTCTCTCTCCTTGTGCAGGGGTACTGGTCCTGTCTCCGCCCCCTCCTGTAGTGGGTGGAGCCCTCCCACAGTTCTGCTCCCTCCTTGTGCAGAGTGACTGGTCTGGTCTCCGCCCCCTCCTGTAGTTGACTGCAGGCAACTTGTAGTGGGTGGAGCCTGCTGGGGTCCCCCCACAGTTCTGCTCTCTCTTCTTGTGCAGGGTGACTGGTCTCCACCCTCTCCTGTAGTGGGTGGAGCCTGCTGGGGCCCTCCCACAGTTCTGCTCCCTGCTTGTGCAGGGTGACTGGTCTGGTCTCTGCCCCCTCCTGTAGTTTTCTGCAGGCAGCCTGTAGTGGGTGGAGCCTGCTGGGGCCCTCCCAGAGTTCTGCTCTCTCTCCTTGTGCAGGGTGACTGGTCTCTGCTCCCTCCTGTACTGGGTGGAGCCTGCTGGGGCCCTCCCACAGTTCTGCTCTCTCTCCTTGTGCAGGGTGACTGATCTCGGCCCCCTTCTGTAGTGGGTGGAGCCTGCTGGGCCCCTCCCACAGTTCTGCTCTCTCTCCTTGTGCAGGGTGACTGGTCTCGGCCCCCTTCTGTAGTGGGTGGAGCCTGCTGGGGCCCTCCCACAGTTCTGCTCACTCTCCTCGTGCAGGGTGACTGGTCTGGTCTCTGCCCCTCCTGTAGTAGGTGGAGCCTGTTCTGGCCCTCCCAGAGTTCTGCTCTCTCTCCTTGTGCAGGGTGACTGGTCTCGGCCCCCTTCTGTAGTGGGTGGAGCCTGCTGGGGCCCTCTCACAGTTCTGGTCCCTACTTGTGCAGGGTGACTGGTCTGGTTTCCGCCCCCCCTTCTGTAGTAGGCGAGCCTGCTGGACCCCTCCCACAGCTCTGCTCTCCACACAAGGGGGGGGGGGGGAGGGAAAGAGAGAGAATAAAAAGAAGAAACGAGAAAGTAGAGAGAAAAGAGTAATAATAATAAATATAATACACACAAGAGAACAATTATATATATATATGGCGAGTGTATATATGAGATTTTTTCTTTAAGAGAACATGGAGCCAACATGCACGCGCAGCACGGAGGACAGTTTCTATCCCCCCCCCCCCCCCCCCTACAGAAAGAGGAACTTTTTGGACTTGTTGGTGTTCTCCTGATGCCGGGGACAGGAAACCTATAAATGGTTTGGATTTTATTTCTGCCTTCCTTTAAGTACGATGTAGGCGGCCATTGCCGACTTCTTCTCCTAACAGCGATGTATTAGACTTCGCAGAGCACAGAGCAGAATACGAATCCTGGGAGCAGAATACGAATCCTGGGAGCAGAATACGAATCCTGGGAGCAGAATACGAATCCTGGGAGCAGAATACGAGTCCTGGGATCAGGGTGGTGCAGCTTCGCACTGGCACAGGGATAGCCCTCGCTGCTGAGTCTGGGAACAGATCGCACATCCAGTCGCTGTGCTGGAAAGGCTGGACAGCGGCCAGGGCGGCCACACCTCGTCTCCGACCCTCATGTGTACGTGGGAAGCATGACACAGCCACAGACAATGAATGCCTGCAGCCTCAGACCTGTCAGTCTCACACAGGCAGTGGTGGGGAGGGTTGGCGAGGACGGCAGGGAACGCACCCAGCACAATAGGTACACCAGGACTGGCATCAACTTAGGCTGCCCACACATTATACAATTTTCTTCTTCAATTTCCTTTAGTTTTACCTTCTATGTAGTACACGGGCCGACCTGGTTACATACAAGCTGTAAGTGTTTCGGTGTGACCTCCAATTATGTGGTTTTGGGAAATCTAAAGGAGAATTGTGTAATGTATGGGCAGCCTTAGAGGGGAAAAACATGACGTTCCAGATGTCAGTCCCGGAGCAGAGGACTTCTCCTTCCACACAAACAATACACAATGAGCTTCATTTACCAACATCGTCCAGAAGAATCATCCATTATCGGGAAACAAACATTCACAGCTGTACAGAGAACGGACGCTTCATGCTGATTGGCTGCTGCAGAGCAGAATATAATGTATATAAATTGATGTGACTGTGTGGGGGGGGGGGGACATTAGAGTGTAAGCTCCTCTGGTACAGAGCCTGATGTGACTGTGGGGGGGAGGGGACATTAGAGTGTAAGCTCCTCTGGTACAGAGACTGATGTGACTGTGGGGGAGGGGACATTAGAGTGTAAGCTCCTCTGGTACAGAGACTGATGTGACTGTGGAGGAGGGGGCATTAGAGTGTAAGCTCCTCTGGTACAGAGACTGATGTGACTGTGGGGGGGACATTAGAGTGTAAGCTCCTCTGGTACAGAGACTGATGTGACTGCGGGGGGAGGGGACATTAGAGTGTAAGCTCCTCTGGTACAGAGACTGATGTGACTGCGGGGGAGGGGACATTAGAGTGTAAGCTTCTCCGATACTAAAAATCTTCCTTCAGAAAAGCTAAATTTAATTCAGACCGCCTCAGACTATCCCCCACAGGATATGACAATGACGTGTACATCACGTATATACGATCCACAGCTCCATTTTCCAGACGTTGAGCTCATATTAAAATGAAGCCACATTTTCACTTCCTGGATTATTCATAAACGTACTTCATAAAGATGATCTCTGAACAGGAAGGAAGTGCGTGTTACTTTTCAAGTGTCGCTGATCCGTTACACCACAAGAGTCAAGCTGGCGGCCCTCCAGCTGTTGCCAAACTACAAGTCCCATGAGGCATTGCAGGATTGACAGTTACAAGCATGACTCCCAAAGGCAGAGGCATGATGGGACTTGTAGTTTCACAACAGCTGGAGAGCCGCCAGTTCCACACCCCTGCATTACACCCTGTATCTTTCACATATGGACAAGTGCTGGGGGTGAGAATACAGCATGTGTGTGTAAATACACATACATACATACATACACACACATACATACACACGCATACATACACATACAGAATGTATCTCACAGGGCTGTGCACCCGCATAGATGTCACACTGGGAGTAACAGCTGTGTCCCTGCAAATGACAGCCATGAGGCGGACGGCACGGGGATGCACAGGGATGCACAGAGCACCCAGGTGTCCCGACTTCGTCCTAACTGACAATTACTCATCAAATATTACATTACAGAGAACTAATGATCCAGCCTAATGGAGGAACGTAATTGTATTCCACCCAATAAAAAGAGTAACACTACCGGCAGGTACTGACTTCCGAACTATAGCCAACCAGTTCAGCAACTTCCCCGAGTCGTATACCTCGGCTATACATACACCTCTAGGGCAGGTGGCATGGATAGGGGCTTACCGGCTGCCCAGCTCAGGTTCACCCACAACATAGCCTGCACCTCCCAGAATTCTGAGAATGGGAAGAAAAAACACCAGAAACACCAACATTACTTGGATATATTGAATACCCTCTATTCATGCACTTTTTGGCTAAGTCTGTGGACACCCCCCCCCCCACCTGAATGAGTTTGGGTGCTTCCGGTAAAGGGTGATGGTAATACTGTGGACAACTGAGCTCTTCCAACCTTGTGGTAAGTGTTCGGTGAAGACCCTCTTCAGTTTCCACCATGACTTTCCCCTATGTACAAAGCCAGTTCCATCAAGACCTAGTTTGACCAAATTGCACCAACTCCATAAAGACATGATTTGAGCTATGTGGACCAGCTCCATAAAGACTTGGTGGGACCAGTTTGGTGTGGAGGAACTCGTGTCCTGCCCACAGCCCTGACCTCAACCCTACTGAACGCCTTTGAGGTGAACTGGAACACCAATCATAATCAATTCCATAAAGACCGAGTTTGACCAAATTGCACCAACTCCATAAAGACATGATTTGAGCTATGTGGACCAGCTCCATAAAGACTTGGTGGGACCAGTTTGGTGTGGAGGAACTCGTGTCCTGCCCACAGCCCTGACCTCAACCCTACTGAACGCCTTTGAGGTGAACTGGAACACCAATCATAATCAACTCCATAAAGACCTAGTTTGACCAAATTTCATCAACTCCATAAAGACATGATTTGACCTATGTGGACCAGCTGCATAAAGACCTGGTGGGACCAGTTTGGTGTGGAGGAACTCACGTATCCTGCCCAGAGCCCTGACCTCAATCCTACTAAACACCCTTGAGGTGAACTGGAACCCCAATCATAAGTCAGCTCCATAAAGACATGGTTTGACTAGTTCAGTGTGGTGGAATTCAAGTGTCCTTCACAAAGCCTTGACCTCAACCCTACTTTTTGAAGACCTTTGGTATAAAGTCTTCTCATCCAACATTAGTACCTGCCCTTACCCTACAGAACATCTTTTGGATGACCAGATTTCACCCCAAAGGTGTTCAGTATAGTCTGAGGTAATGGAGGAACTCGAGAGTCCTGGCCTCAACAATATTGAACATCTTCAGGATGAATTGGAATGCCAATTGCAAGCCAAGTTTATTATGTACAAAGCCAGCTTCATAAAGACATGGTTTGACCAGTAGGGTGTAAAGAACCATGAGTGACCTCCACAGAGCCCTAACCTCAACCCTACTGAACACCTTTGGGATGAACTGTAACACCAATTGTGAGCCAGGTTTTTGTATACAAAAAGACAGCTCTATGAAGACAAGGTTTGACCAGTTTGGTGTGGAGGAATTCGAAGGTCCTTCACAGAGCCCTGACCTCAACCCTACTGAACACCTTTGGGATGAGTTAGAATGCTGATGGTGAGCCAGGACTTCTCATCCAACATCAGTACCTGATCTCACAAATTCTGACAGACACTCCAAAACATCCCATTAGAGTGGCCATATTGGGGGGGAGTTATAACGGGGGTTCGGTCAACTTCATATTAATGGACATGGGGGACGGGCTGTCGAATCCATATTGACAGTCAATGTTGCAGGAATGGTAAGTCCAATGCTCATTATAGGTGTGATGGTCACGTATCTACTAAAGTACTGTACTTACATAATTATAATTAGAAAAGAACATTTATAAAAATGTCCTAAGCCGCAAAAAACAAAAGCAAAGAGAAGAAGGAAAAAAAAAAAAAGAAAGAAGCTGTGCAGCCCATGACAACGAAATTCCACAAACACTCATTAGCACGGGCAGATGTTATTGGTGACGGATACGGTCGCATCTGCTGGCCATCAAATCCGCCGCACTTAATACACGCGGTAAACTCTTCCTTCCCAGATTGGCGCCCACTTGCACAGAGGTTTTCCAACAAAAACAGGATCTGAATGATTCATTTATGAGCAAACTGCTCATTAATGTCCGAGCGCGCACAGCTTAACCTCTTGTATGCCGGTATGCAAGACACATGTCTGCCTCATTAATTATGCATAGTCATTAGTGTGCTCAGTCCTCCACGACATGCCCACTGGGAAGAACAGCAAAATGAGGAGGAAAGTGTACTTTTATCGAGGACTAGCGACCAGGGCAAATATTGATCTGTATTAGGAACCTTCGTATCGGCTGGACAAGGAGGATTCTAAGGTGACGTGAGATGATGTCCCTATGGCCTCATTCACACCAGACCAGAGCAACTTGTAGTTCGAAGCTCCAGGGACGCTCAACATGTGAAATCCTATGGTTCACTCCGGAGCGTAGTTTTGTTGGACCTTGACATTCAATGTGGAATCCCCCTCCCCTGCCAACACCAATGCTAACTAACCTGTGTAAGAAAGATTTATATACTTCATATATACTTAACTATTTTCAGCCCACTATGTACCGGTCACATGATCCTGTGTCAGCCAGCAGTGGCTGCAAGAGAGAAGAGACAGCGATCCGACAACGGCTAGTAAAATATGAACCACGGCCAGGGGCGGACTGACCATTTGGAAACTCGGGCACTGCCCGAGGGCCCGGGGTCAGTAGGGGGCCCCATGAGATGGCCCTGGTACCTTTTTCATAGGCTTTTTTTGAGTTTGGGCAAGGACACAGGGGCCCCCATGATCCCCTATTGCCCGGGGGCCCCATGAGTTGTCAGTCCGCCCCTGACCACGGCACCACCTGCCTGGAGTTTGCATGTTCTACCTGTGCCTGCGTGGGTTTCCTCTGGGTACTCTGGTTTCCTCCCACACTATAAAAGACATGCTGAATGAATGAATGGACTCCTGTCTAAATTGGCCCTAGTATGTGTATGAATGTAAGTTGGGGACCTTAGATTGTACCCCCCTTGAGGGTTAGGGACTGATGTGAATGTGTATTGTATATATATGTGTGTTGATGTGTGTATATATATATATATATATATATATATATATATATATATATGAATATATATATTATATATATATATATATATATATATATATATATCTGTATGAATGTGAGTTTTATATATATATATATATTATATATACACACATACAATCTAAGGTCCCTAACTCACATTTATATATATATATGAGATGTGAGTTAGGGACCTTAGATTGTACGCCCCTTGAGGGTTAGGGACTGATGTGAATGTACAATATATATGTAAAGTGCTGCGTACATTGATGACGCTATACAAGTACCTGAAATAAATACATAAAAATCTAGTCTCAGTGAAAACACAGGACATCACACGTAAGGGACGGGTAAGCTGCCATATACAACATGGCTCTATAGAAGTACCTGTAATAAATAAAAAATAAGTGGTGACATCACCACCCATAGGCTTCAATGGCCCATCCATTGTCAGCGCTCACTCTTTGTCCCTCCAACCATGCTGGCTGCCACAGGGGACCTGTATCATGTCACCGGACCTGCCCGAAAATAGAGAAGTATATATATATATATATATATATATATATATATATATCTGTGTTACGCAGGTTAGGTAGCATAGGTGTTAGGAGGTGAGACGGGACCGTGAAAAGTGGTTCTAAAAACTTATGAATTGCACTGTCTGCATAAAGGTAACGAAACCTTCTTTCTCCAGATCCGCCCCCCCCCCCCCCCCCCCATACTTACCTGAGCCCAATCTCGGTACACAGCACTGTGCATGAGAGCAGCGGCTCTCCTCACTCTCTCCCTCCTCACAGGGTAGACTGATAGCCATTAGCTCCTGCTGCTGTCAACCAATGACGAGGAAGCGAGGTCAGGGCAGATAATATGTGCCGCGCTCCACTAAATAAATGTTATAATATACCAGTAGTGAATGTGTATACTATGTATCTATAACACGTGATTCAACAAACCAAAATAATAATTATATCTATTAAAGGGCAAGCTCTGCTGTCTGTGTCTATGGACACAGGAAGCATAGACAGAGCGAACCAGAACGAGAACCCGCTCTTAGCAAGTGGCTTGCTAGGTGGAGTGTTTCTTGAAAGGCAGGGGGAGCCAGAAGCGCAGGCAGGGGACCCCAGAAGAAGAGGTTCGGGGCTGCTCTGTGCAAAACCATTACACAGAGCAGGTAAGACATGTTTGTGATTAAATATAAAGGTTTAGAATTACTTTAAGGCTAGTCTTTTAGATTGTAAGCTCCCAGGATCAGGCCCTCCTAACCCTCTTGTATTGAACTGTATTGTTGCTGTCAGGGGCGGACTGACCATTTGGAAACTCGGACACTGCCCGAGGGCCCGGGGTCAGTAGGGGGCCCCATAAGATGCCCCTGGTACCTTTTCATAGGCTTTTTTGAGTTTGGGCAAGGACACAGGGGCCCCATGATCCCCTATTGCCCGGGGGCCCCATGAGTTGTCAGTCCGCCCCTGGTTGCTGTATTGTCTCCCGTTATATTGTAAAGCTCTAAGCAAACTGTTGGCGCCATAAATCCTGTATAATAATAATAAAATAGTGAGGTGTAAGCTGGAATTTTACTCTCATTTTTGGCCCCCAATAGACTTCAATGAAAGCGCACAATTTTTTCCCCTACTAAATAGCTTCCCATTGGCTACAAATAATTTTAAAAAATGCTCAAGCGTCAGACACCCGAAAAACGTGAAAAAAAAAACACAAATAGCCTGCAAAACAACCAAAAACACTCAGTTGAGATGTAAATACAGCCTACAAGGACAGTTCTTGGACGTCGGTTGCAAAACTTGTAACCAAACCACAAATCTTAAACAAAACAAATGGCTGGATCACAGTGTGATACGGGGGGGGGGGGGGGGGGGGGGATGGGGACATTTCCTGCTGTGGCAACATCGGGGCTGTAAACAAGCAAGCGCACAGGGAAAAGTATAGAGCAAAACAGTGCCAACCCAGCCACATACAAGTCCCAAATCTCTAACATCTCACCAGTGACTGCAGTGGGATGGTCTACACAATGTATTCCATGAATGGATGGTAGAGGATGCATTGAACACAGTTGTTGGTGAACTTCTGATAGTTGGGTCCAATCTATAGCAAATCTGTGCAATTAAGGTGGTTCTAAAGGCGAAGGGTTTTTTACATTCATATATTGTATGCATGGAGGTAAAACAACAACAAAAACAAACACCTTCCCCCCCCCCCCTCCATCTCCACCCCCATATACTTTCCAGAGCCCCATCTCCATCCAGCCCGGTACACAAGAGCCATACCAAGTTGGGGGAGGGGGGGGGGGACTGTCTACTACCAATAATGCCAGGACAACTGTTACTCCCAGAGGACAACTGTTTTTTCCCAGAGGACAACTGTTTTTTTTTTCCCAGAGGACAACTGTTTTTTTCCCAGAGGACAACTGTTTTTTTTTTCCCAGAGGACAACTGTTTTTTTTCCCAGAGGACAACTGTTTTTTCCCAGAGGACAACTGTTACTCCCAGAGGACAACTGTTACTCCCAGAGGACAACTGTTACTCCCAGAGGACAACTGTTACTCCCAGAGGTCAACTGTTACTCCCCAGAGGTCAACTGTTACTCCCAGAGGTCAACTGTTACTCCCAGAGGTCAACTGTTACTCCCAGAGGACAACTGTTACTCCCAGAGGACAACTGTTACTCCCAGAGACAGGACAACTGTTACTCCCAGTGCCCACAGCCTGGACCCCCCAAGATCTGATGGGACAGTAAACTATTCCTTTGTTGAAAAAGGTTTTGAGACTCCTTTAATTATTTATTAGTCAAGTTGTCACCCGTGGCTTATATAACAATTGTTAACAGGGGCGGACTGACCACTCTTTGCTTTTACCCATCATGAGATGTTTCTTGTGTGACACCTTGGTAATGAGACACCTTTTTATAGGCCATCAGTTGAGACTGAACCAGGGGCAGACTGACTATTTTGGAATCTCGGGCACTGCCCGAGGGCCCGGGGTCAGTGGGGGGCCCCATGAGATGCCCCTGGTACCTTTCATTGGCTTTTTTCAAAGGCTTTTTTGGGTGTTGGCGAGGACACAGGGGCCCCATGAGTTGTCAGTCCCGCTCCTGATTGTTAACATAGTTGTCGTCTTAGCGCTTATGTAATGATCATTTATATAGTCGAGTTGTGTGATGTGTTGCACAGCTGTGCCATACCCCAGAAAAACGGTGGGGGGGGGGGGGGCTCTGATCTGGAAATTGCCAAAGCAAGTGAAAGTAGGAAACAGACCAGATCTAACGGCCATATCTTTGAGAGTGTGGGAGGAAACCGTGTGCACCAGGAGGAAACCCACACAGGCACGGGGAGAACATGCAAACTCCAGGCAGATGATGCCATGGTTGGGATTTGAACCAGCAACCCTAGCGCTGCCAGGCGGAAGTGCTAACCATTCAGCTGCTAGTGTACAGGAACACTGACTTCTAATTGTGGACCGTTTTAGAGAATACCTGTCCTAAAAGAGATCTGGGGGCTGCCATTGCTGACCTCCTTCTGAAAGTGCCAGGTGCCTGGCTGTTTATTAGGTGGGGCCAGGTGCCTGGCTGTTTATTAGGTGGGGCCAGGTGCCTGGCTGTTTATTAGGTGGGGCCAGGTGCCTGGCTGTTTATTAGGTGGGGCCAGGTGCCTGGCTGTTTATTAGGTGGGGCCAGGTGCCTGGCTGTTTATTAGGTGGGGCCAGGTGCCTGGCTGTTTATTAGGTGGGGCCAGGTGCCTGGCTGTTTATTAGGTGGGGCCAGGTGCCTGGCTGTTTATTAGGTGGGGCCAGGTGCCTGGCTGTTTATTAGGTGGGGCCAGGTGCCTGGCTGTTTATTAGGTGGGGCCAGGTGCCTGGCTGTTTATTAGGTGGGGCCAGGTGCCTGGCTGTTTGTAGGTGGGGCCAGGTGCCTGGCTGTTTGTAGGTGGGGCCAGGTGCCTGGCTGTTTGTAGGTGGGGCCAGGTGCCTGGCTGTTTGTAGGTGGGGCCAGGTGCCTGGCTGTTTATTAGGTGGGGCCAGGTGCCTGGCTGTTTGTAGGTGGGGCCAGGTGCCTGGCTGTTTGTAGGTGGGGCCAGGTGCCTGGCTGTTTGTAGGTGGGGCCAGGTGCCTGGCTGTTTGTAGGTGGGGCCAGGTGCCTGGCTGTTTGTAGGTGGGGCCGGGATTGGACCTACCCACCAGGCGGAAGTGCTAACCATTTAGCCAGTACTGTAGGAAGAGGACATAGGGCATTGTATATGGACATTATAATTCGAAATGATCGCCCCACCGCAGCGGTGACACCGAAAGCTACATAGAGAGCACAAGGCGATGTATCAAGAAAGGCATCCCAGGGCGCATCAGCGATGTGAAAGAAGAAGTCGGGATGATGGCGAGGAGGATTTCAGTTCCACATGTCGAGGATACAAGGGTTTAACCACGCGCCTTGTGTACAAAGTAATCATCCCGAGCGGTGTCACATGTTCCGCGTACGCTCTTTACCAAGGTGACAGTCATGTATGGATACCATGGCTACAGGCGTAGTACCTGCTAATTGCAGGACACACAGACATCTATTGATTTAGTCACCACACAAACATGAGCTAATAACTTTACCTGACTTGCTGCTATTAAAATATTAGTAAACCTGCTGAGCAGTCGGTGAATGCATTCCGCCCCTACGGGTGTGTGCACAATGCCTGCTCCCCCCGCAGCCCACCGTGGTTCCCTCCGCCAGCACATACATATAAACCATCGGGGGTATACCATTCTGTGCGAGGAGGGGGGGCTGACCAGGCATTCTACTCAAAGGATACTTGAATCAGCCGGGTAGCACTCTCTCAATCAATGCACTTGTTGCTGGAAAGGTCAATCCATTCACTCCAGCTGCCCCCCCGAACCTCAGGTGGTGGGGTCACTATGAAGTTCATGCCCAACCAAACTTTATTTTTTTATTTATTTATAGTTTTTTTTTTTATAGTTTTTGGTCCATTAAATAAAAATGCATTTTTTTTCCCATGGAGTGGAAGGAAGGCAAAGCCCCGTGTGTGGGTGTGTTTAGAATACCCTGCTCCCCCCGCAGCCCACCGTGGTTCCCTCCGCCAGCACACACATATAAACCATCGGGGGTATACCACTCTGTGCGAGGAGGGGGGGCTGACCAGGCATTCCACACACTCAAAGGATACTTGAATCAGCCGGGTAGCAGTCTCTCAATGCACTTGCTGCTGGAAAGGTCAATCCATTCAATGTCCCCCCCCCCCCCCCAAGCCTCAGGTGGTGGGGTCGCTATGAAGTTCATACCCAACCAAACTTTTTTTTTTTTTAGTTTTTGGTCCATGAAAGGCAATCCCCCGCCCCACGCGGATGCAAGGGGTGTGCATACATGCAGCGGCAGGGGCAGTGAATGTTCCTGCTGCCTAGGACTGGCTGTCGGGTTCAGACGTTTATCCAAAACCACCTAAACTCATCCTTGGTCACAACCAAACAGTGTCACATGTACGGCTTTCGGTTCTCCAGGTTATAAAACAAAGTTTAGTAAAAAAAAAAAAAAAAAAAAAAGCAACACAAAAACCCCCAGCCCAAAAATGCTTTGAGACCCCAAAAGACCCACAAATACAAACGTAAACACACGTCAGGGCGCCTAAGAATGAAAATGTTGATTGTGTTACATAACGAGAGCAATAATTCCCGGCCCACTGCTCGTCATTAACTCTAACCAGGGGTCTCCAGACTGTGGACGGGGGGCGGGACGGGGCTCTTTGCTTGCTTTTATATGGCCCTTGGGCATTATTCCCCCACTGTCAGAAACAGTGGGGCAAAGTTCTTGCCACTGACACCTATGACGGGGCACCAACCCTCCTACTTACACCAATGACGGGGCACTATTCCTCCCACTGACACCAATGACGGGACACCAGCCCTCTTACTGACACCAATGACGGGGCACTATTACTCCCCACTGACACCAATGACGGGGCACTATTTCTCCCACTCACACCAATGACGGGGCACTATTCCTCCCGCTGACACCAATGATGGGGCACTATTCCTCCCGCTGACACCAATGATGGGGCACTATTCCTTCCACTGATACCAATGATGGGGCACTATTCCTCCCACTGACACCAATGACGGGGCACTATTCCTCCCACTGACACCAATGACGGGGCACTATTCCTCCCACTGACACCAATGATGGGGCACTATTCCCCCCACTGACATCAATGACGGGGCACTATTCCTCCCACTGACATCAATGATGGGGCACTATTCCTCCCACTGACACCAATGATGGGACACTATTCCTCCCACTGACACCAATGATGGGGCACTATTCCTCCCACTGACACCAATGACGGGGCACTATTCCTCCCACTGACACCAATGACGGGACACTATTCCTCCCACTGACGGGACACTATTCCTCCCACTGACACCAATGACGGGGCACTATTCCTCCCACCGAAACCAATGACGGGGCACTATTCCTCCCACCGACACCAATGACGGGGCACTATTCCTCCCACCGACACCAATGACGGGGCACTATTCCTCCCACCGACACCAATGACGGGGCACTATTCCTCCCACTGACAACAATAACGGGGCACTATTCCTCCCCACTGACAGCAATGATGAGGCACTATTCCTCCCACTGACACCAATGACGGGGCACTATTCCTCCCACTGACACCAATGATGGGACACTATTCCTCCCACTGACACCAATGACGGGCACTATTCCTCCCACTGACGGGGCACTATTCCTCCCCACTGACACCAATAACAGGGCACTATTCCTCCCCACTGACACCAATGATGGGGCACTATTCCTCCCACTGACACCAATAACGGGGCACTATTCCTCCCCACTGACACCAATGATGGAGCACTATTTCCCACTGACACCAATCACGGGGCACTATTCCTCCCACTGACACCAATGATGGGGCACTATTCCTCCCACTGACACCAATCACGGGGCACTATTCCTCCCACTGACACCAATGATGGGGCACTATTCCTCCCCACTGACACCAATGACGGGGCACTATTCCTCCCACTGACACCAATCACGGGGCACTATTCCTCCCACTGACACCAATCACGGGGCACTATTCCTCCCACTGACACCAATGACGGGGCACTATTCCTCCCACTGACACCAATGACGGGGCACTATTCCTCCCCACTGACACCAATGACGGGGCACTATTCCTCCCACTGACACCAATGATGGGGCACTATTCCTCCCACTGACACCAATGATGGGGGCACTATTCCTCCCACTGATACCAATGATGGGGCACTATTCCTCCCCACTGACACCAATGATGGGGCACTATTCCTCCCACTGATAGCAATGATGGGGCACTATTCCTCCAATGAATACCAATGATGGGGCACTATTCCTCCCACTGACACCAATGATGGGGCACTATTCCTTCCACTGACACCAATGATGAGGCACTATTCCTCCCACTGACACCAATGATGGGACACTATTCCTCCCACTGACACCAATGATGGGACACTATTCCTCCCACTGACACCAATGATGGGACACTATTCCTCCCACTGACACCAATGACGGGGCACTATTCCTCCCCGTAATACCAATGATGGGACCTTTTCTACTCCCACACGGCCCCCTAAGGTTTGAAGGACAGTAAACTGGCCCATTGCTTATAAAGCTTGGAGACCCCCTGCTCTAAACGGAGGACCTGTAGAGGGTTATAAAGTGCCACCTGTGGAATGTTTAGGGTACTAAAGGTTTTTTTTTGCCTGTTTTAACGGACGCACGCCATTTTTAGCCTCGACATGTTGGGTATCTATTTACTCGGCGCAATTCTCATCTTTTTTTACTTTCCCAAAAAATTAAGAAACATTGTTACCTTAAAGAGAAGTATAGTATTCATTAAGAACTGAGCAATCAAAACACCACTGATCACTCAGTTCTCCCCTTTGACGGTCAGTCTCCGGCTCTATGCTCCGCCCCTCCAGCGCTCACTGGATTGCTGGGGTGCGGGGGCGGCTGGCCCAGGGTCCCGGCGGATCGCTGAGAGGCCGAGCCAGCTGCCCGATCCAGGGTTCTGGGTGGATCCCGACAATATGGTCGGGATTCTTCCCTAGCCTGGACCGGCTCTGTAACCTCAGCCAACAGGGGGCTTTAGCCTGCTGTTGGCTGAAAACAAGTCACAGGAGTGCAGAACGAACTTAAAAAAAAATAAAGCGTTGGCTAGACTTCTCCTTTAACAATAACTTCGCATATTTTTTTTACTGATACGTGAACTTTGATAAATTGTTGCGCAAATATTGCGTGATATTAAAAAGAAAAAATTCTCTCTTAGGCCTGAAGACTACTTTAAACTCCTGAAAACTATAGATTTTCTGCATACGGGGACGTTGGAGAAATAAATGGTGGAAGTTCCAATTTTTTAATCTGTGCATTAAAAGAAAAAAAAAAAAAAAAAAACCGAATAAAAATAAATAAATAAAACACAAAAACATCTCTGGCAGTGAATGGGTTAAATGCCAAGTTCACTTTTTTTCAGAAAATAGCTTTTACAAAGCTGGACAGCTTTTAATACCTACTGCTGCCCCCCCCCCCCCCCCCCCCGGACTGAATAGGAAACGTTTTGGAAAAAGGTGGAAAAAAAAAAAATCCCTGTTGATCCTACCACGAGGGTCCTTGTTCAGGAACTTCCTGTCAACGAGACAACGCCCCGTCCTTGTCTCTAATGTTCTCCAATGTTGTCACGCGGCATTCCGATGAAGACTACAAAAAGTTACTTCAGCACACATTCCACAGCATGGCCCACTGTTGTCACCATTACTACACTCGCCCTGAGGGTAGGTTCACACCTCGTGCATTTACCGGCACGCACAGAAACGCGCTGCCCTGTAACAGACGCACGGTGCCGCCATTTTTTTTTTTTGTTTATGCTAATGCACGCACCAACCCGCACGGTGCTGCAGCGTCATGCGGTTCGCCGTGATGCAATTCTGAAAAAAGGGTCAGGGACCTCTTCTGCGCATTATTTTATTTATTTATTTCAGGTACTTATATAGCCGTCAGTTTACGCCGCGCTTTACATATATATTGTACATTCACATCAGTCCCCACCCCCGAGGAGCATACAATCTAAGGACCCTAACTCACATTCATACACATACTAGGGACAATTTAGACAGGAGCCAATTCACCTACCAGCATGTTTTTGGAGTGTGGGAGGAAACCCACACAGGCACAGGGAGAACATGCAAACTCCGAGCAGGTGGTTGGGATTCGAACCAACGACCCGAGTACTGCCAGACGGAAGTGCTAACCATTTAGCCACCGTGCATTGAAGGCCTTCCCTGCATGTTCAGTCACAACAAGCACCTAAAAAAATGCCATGCAGCCATTGCTGGGGGGGGGGGGCGGCATATAGACAGGAAGTGGCTGCAAAGAGGCTACAGGAGGTCAGCAGCACTGATACAGGGAGATCTATATTCAGATTTCCTTCCACATCTCAAACTCGTACACAGGGGCGGACTGACCATTTAGAAACTCAGGCACTGCCCGAGGTCAGTAGGGGATGCCCCTGGTACCTTTTTCATAGTCTTTTTTTGAGTTTGGGCAAGGACACAGGGGCCCCATGATCCCCTATTGCCCAGGGGTCCCATGAGTTTGCAGTCGGCCCTGATCATACACCGATTATTTTCATTTTGATCTGAACTGGCCCCCCGAATACCTGTGGAGGGGCATTAGAATGCAAGCTCAGGTAGTGTCCCTAGACAGGAAGGGAGGGGAAATTTCTCTGATGGGGACACAGGCAGAAACGGAGGAAAATAAAAACGCACTCCTGTTGTTCTAAAGATGTAATTAGCAAATCAGGAAACTAAAAGTGGTTGCTTGTGCAACGCAGCGTCCCAGTAGGTTGCTTGTGCAACGCAGCGTCCCAGTAGTTGTTTGCTTGTGCAACGCAGCGTCCCAGTAGGTTGCTTGTGCAACGCAGCGTCCCAGTAGGTTGCTTGTGCAACGCAGCGTCCCAGTAGGTTGCTTGTGTGTAACCAACGCAGCGTCCCAGTAGGTGAAAGGTGAAGACGGGTGAAGTCCTAATGACGGATTTCATCTCCCGAGTGGAATGCAGGTTATCGGTTTTATGGCAGGTGATGTTTGCAGTCATATAACAAACCTGTCTGTCTACATTCTGCAAAGAGGACAGCACACCCAACTGCCAACAAGCTCTACACCCCCCCACTCCCCCTCCTCTATACCTCTATCTTCCCCCCCCCACCCCCTCTCTCCCCCCCACCTCTATACCTCTCTCTCCCCCCCACCCCTCTCTCCTCCTCCCCCCCCACCTCTATAACCTCTCTCCCCCCCCCCACCTCTCTTCCCCCCCCCCACCCCTCTCTCCCCCCCACACCCCTATACCCCTCTCCTCCCCCCCACCCCCCCTCTCTTCCCCCCCCCCCCCCCTCTATACCTCTCACCTCCCCCCCCCCACCTCTCCCCCCCCCCCCCTCTATACCTTCTCTACCCCCCCCCCCCACTCTATACCCCTCTGCCCCCACCTCTCACCCCCCCCCCCCCCTCTATACCCTCTCTCCCCCCCCCCACCTCTATACCTCTCCCCTCCCTCCCCCCACCTCTATACCTCTCCCCCCCCCCACCTCTATACCCTCTCCTCCTCCCCCCCCACCTCTATACCTCTCTCCCCCCCCCACCTCTATACCTCTCTCCCCCCCCACCCCCTCTCTCCCTCCCCCCCCCCACCTCTAATACCTCCTCCCCCCCAACCCCCTCCTCCTCACCCCTCCCCCCCCACCTCTAAACCTCCACCCTCTCCCCCCACCTCCCTTTTTCTATACCTCCTCTCTCCCCCCTATCCCCCCACCTCTATACCTCTCTCCCCCCCCCCCCTATAACCTCCCCCACCCCCACCTCTATACCTCTCTCTCCCCCCCCCCCCCACCACCTCTATACCTCTCTCCCACCCCCCCCCCACCTCTATACCCTCTCCCCCCACCCCCACCTCCCCCTCCCCCCACCTCTATACCTCTCTCCCCCCCCCCCCCTCCCCCCTCTATACCCTCTATACCTCTCTCCTCTCTCCCCCCCCCCACCCTCTATACCTCTCTCCCCCCCCCCCACCTCTATACCTCTCTCTCCCCCCCCCCCCCCCCTCTCTCTCCTATAACCCTCTCTCCCCCACCCCCCCCAATGACCGAGATATGAGTGGGTGACCCCCTGTCAGGATGGCACGTACCAGAATGATGACTATTATTATAACAGCTTTATGTGATTATTATACATTTCCTCATCTCCTGGAATCAGATAATGACATGTGACCTCACCCCTACAATCATCACATTGACTCCACAGATAAGGAGAGAAGGGCTGTGATTGGTGCAGACAGCCGATAACAGTTGTTTCACCGATATGAAGGTGTGAACACACGGAAGATACGCTCGCTCACCACGGCAACCGTTCACCGACAACTTACAAGTTTCCATAGAAACGCTAAATACTTCCCATAGCAACACACAGATCTGTTGTCAATATTACGTTTACAAAGCACATCAGGAGGGGAACCTCCAGTGCTGGGACAACACGCGTCCGACATCACACTGCAGGAACCTCCAGTGCTGGGACAACGCGGTCCGACCATCACACTGCAGGGAACCTCCAGTGCTGGGACAAACGCTGTCCGACATCACACTGCGGGGAACCTCCAGTGCTGGGACAACGCGGTCCGACATCACACTGCGGGGAACCTCCAGTGCTGGGACAACGCGGTCCGACATCACAACTGCGGGGAACCTCCAGTGCTGGGACAAAAACAACGCGGTCCGACATCACACTGCGGGGAACCTCCAGTGCTGGGACAACGCGCGGTCCGACATCACACTGCGGGGAACCTCCAGTGCTGGGACAACGCGGTCCGACATCACACTGCGGGGAACCTCCAGTGCTGGGGACACAACGCTGTCCGACATCACACTGCGGGGAACCTCCAGTGCTGGGACAACGCGGTCCGACATCACACTGCAGGGAACCTCCAGTGCTGGGACAACGCGGTCCGACATCACACTGCGGGGAACCTCCAGTGCTGGGACAACGCGGTCCGACATCACACTGCGGGGAACCTCCAGTGCTGGGACAAACGCGGTCCGACATCACACTGCGGGGAACCTCCAGTGCTGGGACAACGCGGTCCGACATCACACTGCGGGGAACCTCCAGTGCTGGGACAACGCGGTCCGACATCACACTGCGGGGAACCTCCAGTGCTGGGACAACGCGGTCCGACATCACACTGCGGGGAACCTCCAGTGCTGGGACAACGCGGTCCGACATCACACTGCGGGGAACCTCCAGTGCTGGGACAACGCGGTCCGACATCACACTGCGGGGAACCTCCAGTGCTGGGAGACAACGCGGTCCGACATCACACTGCGGGGAACCTCCAGTGCTGGGACAACGCGGTCCGACATCACACTGCGGGGAACCTCCAGTGCTGGGACAACGCGGTCCGACATCACACTGTGCAGGGAACCTCCAGTGCTGGGACAACGCGGTCCGAATCACACTGCGGGGAACCTCCAGTGCAGGGACAACGCGGTCCGACATCACACTGCGGGGAACCTCCAGTGCTGGGACAACGCGGTCCGACCCCACACTGCGGGGAACCTCCAGTGCTGGGACAACGCGGTCCTCCACTGCGGGGAACCTCCAGTGCTGGGACATACGCGGTCCGACATCACACTGTCGCCCCGCGGGGAACCTCCAGTGCTGAGAAACGCGGTCCGACATCACACTGCGGGGAACCTCCACACTGAAAACAGCGTCCCCCCTCCGACAACATTCCACGCGGGGAACCTCCAGTGCTGAGGAGAACGCGGTCCACACATCAACATGTGCGGGTGTCCTGTGCTGGGACACAAGTGTCCGACATACGCGGTCCCCCCGACATACACTCCTCTGGGACAGCAATTCCCCCCCCCCAAACAGCGGGTCCTCTCACACAAGTGACCCCCCCCATACACTGCACCTCAAAAAGTAGGTCCCCCCCTCCTCATACATTCCTCTCACACACTGTCCCCCTCCTCGTACATTCCTCTCACACAGCGTCCCCCCCCCCATACATTCCTCTCACACAGCGTCCCCCCCCCATACACTTCCTCTCACACAGCGTCCCCCCCCCCATACATTCCTCTCACACACACAGCGTCCCCCCCCCCATACATTCCTCTCACACACACTGTCCCCCCCCCCCCTCAGTACATTCCTCTCACACACTGTCCCCCCCCCCCCCATCCTCGTACATACCCTCTCACACAGTGTCCCCCCCTCCCTTATACATTCCTCTCACCCCCCACACAGCGTACCCCCCCCTGCGCTCACCCCCCATCCCTCTCACACAGAGTCCCCCCCCCCCCCCATTCCTCTCACAACACATCCTCTCCATACCCCCCCCCCTCGTACATTCCTCTCAACTCACACTCGTATCCCCGTCCCCCCCCCCTCACCCACTCGTACATTCCTCTCACACACACTGTCCCCCCCCCCTCGTACCATCCTCTCACAACTGTCCACCCCTAACCCTCCCCCCCCTCCTCTCTACACACTGTACATTCCTCTCACACACACGTCCCCCCCCCCCCCCCCCTCCACTTCCTCTCGTACATTCCTCCTCACACACTGTCCCCCCCCCCCCCCCCCTCGTAACATTCACATTCCTCCACCACACTGTCCCCCCCCCCCCCCCTCTCCCACATTCCCCCTCACACACTGTCCCCCCCCCCCCCCCCTCGTACATTTCCTCCATCTGTCACACTGTCCCCCCCCCCTCCTCGTACATTCCTCTCACACACTGTCCCCCCCCCCCCGTACATTCCTCTCACACACTGTCACCCCCCCCCCCCCCTCGTACATTCCTCTCACACACTGTCCCCCCCCCCCCCTCGTACATTCCTCTCACACACTGTCCCCCCCCCCCCCTCGTACATTCCTCTCCGCGACCACACTGTCCCCCACCCTCCCCCCCCCCCCCGTACATTCCTCTCACACACTGTCCTCCCCCCCCCCCTCGTACATTCCTCTCACACACTGTCCCCCCCCCCCCCCCCTCGTACATTCCTCTCACACACTGTCCCCCCCCCCCTCGTACATTCCTCTCACACACTGTCCCCCCCCCCCCTCGTCACATTCCTCTACATTCCTCTCCCCCCCCCCCCCCCCCTCGTACATTCCTCTCACACACTGTCCCCCCCCCCCTCGTACACATTCCTCTCACACACTGTCCCCCCCCCTCCCCCCCCCCCTCGTACATTCCCTCTCACACACTGTCCCCCCCCCCCCCCGTCCTCGTACATTCCTCCACACACTGCCCTCCGTACATTCCCCCCCCCCCCCCCCCCCTCGTACATTCCTCTCACACTGTCCTGTCCCATCCCCCCCCCCTCCTCGTACATTCCTCTCACACACACTGTCCCCCCCCCCCCCTCGTACATTCCTCTCACACACTGTCCCCCCCCCCCCCTCGTACATTCCTCTCACACACTGTCCCCCCCCCCCCGTACATTCCTCTACATTCCTCCCCCCCCTCACATTCCTCTCACACACTGTCCCCCCCCCCCCCCTCGTACATTCCTCTCAACACACCTGTCCCCCCCCCCCCCCTCGTACATTCCTCTCACACACTGTCCTCCCCCCCCTCCCTCGTACATTCCTCTCACACACTGTCCCCCCCCCCCCTCCTCGTACATTCCTCTCACACACTGTCCCCCCCCCCCCCTCGTACATTCCTCTCACACACTGTCCCCCCCCCCCCTCGTACATTCCTCTCACACACTGTCCCCCCCCCCCCCTCCTCGTACATTCCTCTCACACACTGTCCCCCCCCCCCCTCGTACATTCCGCTCTCACACACACCCCCCCCCCCCCCTCGTACATTCCTCTCACACACTGTCCTCCCCCCCCCCCCTCGTACATTCCTCTCACACACTGTCCCCCCCCCCCTCCTCGTACATTCCTCTCACACACACTGTCCCCCCCCCTCGTACATTCCTCTCACACACTGTCCTGTCCCCCCCCCCCCTCGTACATTCCTCTCACACACTGTCCTCCCCCCCCCCTCGTCGTACATTCCTCTCACACACCGTCCCCCCCCTCCTCGTACATTCCTCTCACACACCTGTCCCCCCCCCCCTCCTCGTACATTCCTCTCATTACCTCACACACACTGTCCCCCCCCCCCCTCGTACATTCCTCTCACACACTGTCCCCCCCCCCCCCCCCTCGTACATTCCTCTCACACACTGTCCCCCTCCCCCCCCTCGTACATTCCTCTCACACACTGTCCCCCCCCCCCCTCGTACATTCCTCTCACACACTCCCCCCCCCCCGTACCCCCACCCCCCCCCCTCGTACATTCCTCTCACACACTGTCCTTCCCCCCCTCCTCGTACATTCCTCACACACCGTCCCCCCCTCCACACATGTCCTCTCCACACCCCCCCCCCCTCGTACATTCCTCTCACACACTGTCCCCCCCCCCCCCTCGTACATTCCTCTCACACACACTCGTACCTCCACCACCCCCCCCCCCTCCTCGTACATTCCTCTCACACACCTGTCCCCCCCTCCTCGTACATTCCTCTCACACACACTGTCCTCCCCCCCCTCCTCAACACAACATTCCTCCCACATTTCCTCACACCACCCCCCCCCCTCCTCGTACATTCCCTCACACACACCGTCCCCCCCTCCTCGTACATTCCTCTCACACACACTGTCCCCCCCTCCTCGTACATTCCTCACACACACTGTCCCCCCCTCCTCGTACATTCCTCTCACACACACTGTCCCCCCCCCCTCCTCGTACATTCCTCACACACACACACTGTCCCCCCCCCTCCTCGTACATTCCTCTCACACACTGTCCCCCCCCCCCCTCCTCGTACATTCCTCACACACACACTGTCCCCCCCCCCTCCTCGTACATTCCCTCTCACACACGTCCCCCCCCCTCCCCGTACATTCCTCTCACACACACCGTCCCCCCCCTCCTCGTACATTCCTCTCACACACCGTCCCCCCCCCCCCTCCTCGTACATTCCTCTCACACACTGTCCCCCCCCTCCTCCGTACATTCCTCTCACACACACCGTCCCCCCCCCCCCTCCTCGTACATTCCTCTCACACACACCGTCCCCCCCCTCCTCGTACATTCCCTCACACACACCGTCCCCCCCCCCCTCCTCGTACATTCCTCTCACACAACCTCCACCCCCCCCCTCCTCGTACATTCCTCTCACACACACACCGTCCCCCCCCTCCTCGTACATTCCTCTCACACGTCCCCCCCCACCTCGTACCCCACCCCTCCCCCCCTCCGTACATTCCTCACACACACCGTCCCCCCCCTCCTCGTACATTCCTCTCACACACACCGTCCCCCCCCCCTCCTCGTACATTCCTCTCACACACACCGTCCCCCCCTCCTCGTACATTCCTCTCACACACACTGTCCCCCCCTCCTCGTACATTCCTCACACACACACTGTCCCCCCCTCCTCGTACATTCCTCACACACACACTGTACCCCCCCCCCTCCTCGTACATTCCTCACACACACACTGTCCCCCCCTCCTCGTACATTCTCTCACACACACCGTCCCCCCCTCCTCGTACATTCCTCACACACACACTGTCCCCCCCCCCCCTCCTCGTACATTCCTCACACACACCGTCCCCCCCTCCTCGTACATTCCTCACACACACCGTCCCCCCCTCCTCGTACATTCCTCACACACACCTGTCCCCCCCCTCCTCGTACATTCCTCACACACACCGTCCCCCCCTCCTCGTACATTCCTCTCACACACACTGTCCCCCCCCCCTCCTCGTACATTCCTCTCACACACTGTCCCCCCTCCCGTACATTCCTCTCACATTCCCTCCCCGCATTCCCTCACACTGTCCCCCCCCTCGTACCCCCCCTCCCCCTCGTACATTCCTCCTCACACACTGTCCCCCCCCCCCCTCCTCGTACATTCCTCTCACACACTGTCCCCCCCTCCTCGTACATTCCTCTCACACACTGTCCCCCCCTCCTCGTACATTCCTCTCACACACTGTCCCCCCCCTCCTCCTTACATTCCTCTCACACACCGTCCCCCCCTCCTCGTACATTCCTCTCACACCGTCCCCCCCCCTCCTCGTACATTCCCCCCACCCCCCCCCCCCCCTCCTCTTACATTCCTCTCACACCCCCCCCCCCCTCGTACATTCCTCTCACACTGTCCCCCCCCCTCGTACATTCCTCACACTGTCCCCCCCCCCTTACATTCCTCTCACACACTGTCCCCCCCTCGTACATTCCTCTGGGGTCCCCCCCCCCCCCCCTCGTACATTCCTCTCTCACACTGTCCCCCCCCCTCGTACATTCCTCCACACTGTCCCCCCCCCTCGTACATTCCTCCACACTGTCCCCCCCTCCTCTTACATTCCTCTCGCACTGTCCCCCCCCCCTCCTCTTACATTCCTCTCACACACCGTCCCCCCCCCCTCCTCTTACATTCCTCTCACACACACCGTCCCCCCTCCTCGTACATTCCTCACACACACCGTCCCCCCTCCTCGTACATTCCTCTCACACTGTCCCCCCCCTCCTCTTACATTCCTCTCACACACCGTCCCCCCCCTCCTCGTACATTCCTCACACACTGTCCCCCCCCTCCTCGTACATTCCTCACACACACTGTCCCCCCCCCCTCCTCGTACATTCCTCACACACTGTCCCCCCCCTCCTCGTACATTCCTCACACACTGTCCCCCCCCTCCTCGTACATTCCTCACACACGTCCCCCCCCCCTCCTCGTACATTCCTCTCACACTGTCCCCCCCTCCTCTTACATTCCTCTCACACACCGTCCCCCCCCCCCTAATTCCTCTTACATTCCTCTCACCACACCGTCCCCCCCTCCTCTTACATTCCTCTCAGCCGTGAAATAAAGACACCGTCCCCCCCTCCTCGTACATTCCTCTCACACACCCCACCGGTCCCCCCCTCCTCTTACATTCCTCTCACACCGTCCCCCCTCCTCGTACATTCCTCACACACCACCGTCCCCCCCTCCTCATGCTTTCTCTCCCCCTCCTCCTCAGGCACTGTCCCCCCCTCTCCATTGGTGGGGCCCCCGGGGTGTCTCCTCTCACCTGGGGAGTAGAGTTCTGCCAGCTCCCGGGCCCCAGCGTGCTGGGGGCCCCACCTCGGGCTGCCCTCCCTGCAGGGCTCGGCCAGGTCACTCTCGGCCATCGGGCAGAGCCGGGGCTCACTGTCGGCTCCTCCGTGCGCCGTCCTCGCCATCTTCCCGGCCAGCCAATCGCAGAAGCCGCCGTACCCTGCTCGCCACCTGATTGGGGGAGTGTCGAAAGGGGGCGGGAAGCTCCGGCCAATAGACGGGGTAGGGGCTGACAGGCTGGCCAATCGTCGCTCCCCCACGCAAGGTAGGCATGTGATACTCGGCCAATAGAAGAGAGAAGGTGAGGAGCCCAGTGGGCGGCTGCCCGAGGCCTGGAGGAGAGGGCACGCCCCCAAAAATAACACACACCCCGCACGGTCACACCCACCCATGCCACACGCCCAGCTGTCACATAGTAGGCGCGCGACCAGTACAATTGATAAATTTCGTTTCCTCTTTGTATCGACGGCCCCGCCCACGGGAGTCAACAATCGCGGCTGAATGGCTGGAAGGGAAGGAGGGAGGGGCGGCACCTTCTATAACATCCTCGTCTGCTCCGAGAGTGACAGGTAGAGAGTGCAGGCCAGGTGTCAGGGACCAGGAGAACTCACAAAGTGTGCCTGGATGGCTGGGAGCTGCTATAAGCGTGATAAGAGAGGGTCACAGAGACTGAGGACACGATACAGGAGACGGTCAGAGACTGAGGACACGATACAGGAGACGGACGGATCAGAGACTGAGGACACGATACAGGAGACGGTCAGAGACTGAGGACACGATACAGGAGACGGTCAGAGACTGAGGACACGATACAGGAGACGGTCAGAGACTGAGGACACGATACAGGAGACGGTCAGAGACTTCGGACACGATACAGGAGACGGTCAGAGACTGCGGACACGATACAGGAGACGGTCAGAGACTGAGGACACGGTACAGGAGACGGTCAGAGACTGAGGACACGGTACAGGAGACGGTCAGAGACTGAGGACGCGGTACAGGAGACGGTCAGAGACTGAGGACACGGTACAGGAGACGGTCAGAGACTGAGGACGCGGTACAGGAGACGGTCAGAGACTGAGGACACGATACAGGAGACGGTCAGAGACTGAGGACACGATACAGGAGACGGGTCAGAGACCGAGGACACGATACAGGAGACGGTCAGAGACCGAGGACACGATACAGGAGACGGTCAGAGACCGAGGCACGATACAGGAGACGGTCAGAGACCGAGGACACGATACAGGAGACGGTCAGAGACCGAGGACACGATACAGGAGACGGTCAGAGACCGAGGACACGATACAGGAGACGGTCTCAGAGACCGAGGACACGATACAGGAGACGGTCAGAGACCGAGGACACGATACAGGAGACGGTCAGAGACCGAAGACACGATACAGGAGACGGTCAGAGACCGAGGACACGATACAGGAGACGGTCAGAGACCGAGGACACGATACAGGAGACGGTCAGAGACCGAGGACACGATACAGGAGACGGTCAGAGACGAGGACACGATACAGGAGACGGTCAGAGACCGAGGACACGATACAGGAGACGGTCAGAGACCGAGGACACGATACAGGAGACGGTCAGAGACCGAGGACACACGATACAGGAGACGGTCAGAGACCGAGACCGAGACGGACACGAGGACACGATACAGGAGACGGTCAGAGACCGAGGACACGATACAGGAGACAGGAGACGGTCAGAGACCGAGGAGGACACGATACAGGAGACGGTCAGAGACCGAGGACACGATACAGGAGACACGATACAGACCGAGACGGTCAGGAGACGGTCAGACCGAGGACACGATACAGGAGACGGTCAGAGACCGAGGACACGATACAGGAGACGGTCAGAGACCGAGGACACGATACAGGGAGACGGTCAGAGACCGAGGACACGATACAGGAGACGGTCAGAGACCGAGGACACGATACAGGAGACGGTCAGAGACCGAGGACACGATACAGGAGACGGTCAGAGACCGAGGACACGATACAGGAGACGGTCAGAGACCGAAGACACGATACAGGAGACGGTCAGAGACCGAAGACACGATACAGGAGACGGTCAGAGACCGAAGACACGATACAGGAGACGGTCAGAGACCGAAGACACGATACAGGAGACGGTCAGAGACCGAAGACACGATACAGGAGACGGTCAGAGACCGAAGACACGATACAGGAGACGGTCAGAGACCGAAGACACGATACAGGAGACGGTCAGAGACCGAAGACACGATACAGGAGACGGTCAGAGACCGAAGACACGATACAGGAGACGGTCAGAGACCGAAGACACGATACAGGAGACGGTCAGAGGCTGCGGACGCACTACAGGAGATAGTCAGAGGCTGCGGACGCACTACATAGGGCGGTCAGATAGTGCAGACGTGATACAGGAGACGGCCAGAGAATACGGAGATGGTACTAGGGGCGGTCAGAGACTGCGGACTGACTACAGGGGGCGGTCAGAAACTGCGGACGCACTACAGGGGGATGTCAGAGACTGCAGACGCACTACAGGGGGCAGTCACAGACTTCAGACGCCCTACAGGAGATGGGCATGGACTGCGGACGCACTACAGGGAACGGTCAGAAACTGTGGACACGTTACAGGAGATGGTCAGAGACTGCGGACACACTACAGGAGACGGTCAGAGGCTGCGGACACACTACAGGGGATGGTCAGAGACTGCAGTCATACTACAGGAGACGGTCAGAGACTGCAGACGTGACACAGGAGAGGGGATGTCACGTCTTGAACAAAAATGAGCTGCATGGTCGAGTTGCCAGAAAGAAACCTTTATTGTGCCAGAGCCACAAAACACATTGTAACCGTATCCCCACACTATATTCCTTCCCATACACACTACTACTCTACATATACTGTACATACATCCCCATACATACTGTACTATAACTCCTCCCATGTGGTACATACACTACATACATCCCCATACATACTGTACTATTACTCCTCCCATGTGGTACATACACTACATACATCCCCATACATACTGTACTATTACTCCTCCCATGTGGTACACACACTACATACATCCCCATACATACTGTACTATTACTCCTCCCATGTGGTACACACACTACATACATCCCCATACATACTGTACTATTACTCCTCCCATGTGGTACACACACTACATACATCCCCATACATACTGTACTATTACTCCTCCCATGTGGTACGTAAACTACATACCTCCCCAAAAAATGCATCCATTCCCCCTCCCACCTCTTGTACATACACCACATACCCTCACATATCACCCTACTAGTACCCGCTCCATATTCCTCCTATACTACATGCTCTCATATATTCTTTTATACTTCACCTATACTGTACCTAAAACTACACATCCTCAGAAACTGTTACTTCTCATACTGTATATGTACTACATACCTTTCCATACATGTCACCCCCCTCGCCATGCTGCACATACACTACATACCCTCATATAATATCAACCAAACAGTATTCTCCGCTCCTCGCACGACCTCCTGCTCCCTAGTCTCCTCCTCCCATGCTCGTCTCCAGGACTTCTCCAGAGGTTCCCCATCCTCTGGAACTCTCTACCCAATTTATCAGACTATCACCTACTCTGCTCACTTTTAGGCGATCTCTGAAAACCTCTCTCTTCAGGGAAGCCTATGCTGCCCTCCGCTAATAACGGAATCTTTTATTCCTCCTACCAGTCCATCCCCCACAGTTATTACCTTTTTGTATCACTAGCCCCTCCCTCTTAGATTGTAAGCTCCCAGGATCAGGCCCTCCTAACCCTCTTATATTGAACTGTATTGTCTCCCATTATATTGTACAGCGCTGAGTAAACTGTTGGCACCATAAATCCTGTATAATAATAAAACCTATTACCCCATACAATCCATACATACACGGTACACATTCTGAACACCCCTATTTATATCATTTACTATATAGCCCCCATTCTGTACATATTATCCATACGCCTCTACCACTGTACATGCCCCCCCCCCCCAATCTCATGCTCCTGTGTACCGTCCACTCATGCTTACTCCCTTGATATACTCCACCTATGGTCCTATACCCCCCTCTATACATACACTGTCCCCACACTAGCACACTCCATTTTCATCTCAGCTTCAAGTTCAGCACATTTCCTGCTCTGCCAATCTCACCGCTGAATGAGAAGAGGACTGGACAAGAAAATGTATGAGGAAAAAAAGAGCCAATAAATTGGGCCAATAAACCGGAGATCAGTGAGAGAAGGACCCCATTACACCGGAGGTTAGTGGGAGAAGGGTTCCATTACACCGGAGGTTAGTGGGAGAAGGGCCCCATTACACCGGAGGTTAGTGGGAGAAAGGCCCCATTACACCGGAGGTTAGTGAGAGAAGGGTTTCATTACACTGGAGGTTAGTGGGAGAAGGGCCCCATTACACCGGAGGTTAGTGGGAGAAGGGCCCCATTACACCGGAGGTTAGTGGGAGAAGGGCCCCATTACACCGGAGGTTAGTGAGAGAAGGGTTTCATTACACCGGAGGTTAGTGGGAGAAGGGCCCCATTACACCGGAGGTTAGTGAGAGAAGGGTTTCATTACACCGGAGGTTAGTGGGAGAAGGGCCCCATTACACCGGAGGTTAGTAGGAGAAGGGTTCCATTACACCGGAGGTTACTGAGAGAAGGGTTCCATTACACCGGAGGTTAGTAGGAGAAGGGCCCCAGTACACTGGAGGTTAGTAGGAGAAGGGCCCCCATTACACCGGAGGTTAGTAGGAGAAGGGCCCCATTACACCGGAGGTTAGTGGGAGAAGGGCCCCATTACACCGGAGGTTAGTGGGAGAAGGGTTCCATTACACCGGAGGTTAGTGGGAGAAGGGCCCCATTACACCGGAGGTTAGTGGGAGAAGGGTTCCATTACACCGGAGGTTAGTAGGAGAAGGGCCCCATTACACCGGAGGTTAGTGGGAGAAGGGCCCCATTACACCGGAGGTTAGTGGGAGAAGGGTTCTATTACACCGGAGGTTAGTGGGAGAAGGGCCCCATTACACCAAAGGTTAGTGGGAGAAGGGCCCCATTACACCGTAGGTTAGGGGAGAAAGGCCCCATTACACCGGAGGTTAGTGGGAGAAGGGCCCCATTACACCGGAGGTTAGTGGGAGAAGGGCCCCATTACACCGTAGGTTAGTGGGAGAAGGGCCCCATTACACCGGAGGTTAGTGGGAGAAGGGTTCCATTACACCGGAGGTTAGTGGGAGAAGGGCCCCATTACACCGGAGGTTAGTGGGAGAAGGGCCCCATTACACCGGAGGTTAATGAGAGAAGGGCCCCATTACACCGGAGGTTAGTGGGGAGAAGGGCCCCATTGCACCGGAGGTTAGTGAGAGAAGGGCCCCATTACACCGGAGGTTAGTGGGAGAAGGGTTCCATTACACTGGTGATCAGTGGGAGAAGGGTTCCATTACACCGGAGGTTAGTGGGAGAAGGGCCCCATTACACTGGAGGTTAGTGGGAGAAGGGCCCCATTACACCGGAGGTTATGGGAGAAGGGCCCCATTACATTGGAGGTTAGTGAAAGAAGGGCCCCATTACACCGGAGGTTAGTGGGAGAAGGGTTCCATTACACCGGAGGTTAGTAGGAGAAGGGTTCCATTACACAGGAGGTTAGTAGGAGAAGGGTTCCATTACACAGGAGGTTAGTAGGAGAAGGGCCCCATTACACAGGAGGTTAGTAGAAGGGCCCCATTACACTGGTGATCAGTGGGAGAAGGGTTCCATTACACTGGAGATTAGTAGGAGAAGGGCTCCATTACACCGGAGGTTAGTAGGAGAAGGGCCCCATTACACTGGTGATCAGTGGGAGAAGGGTTCCATTACACTGGTGATCAGTGGGAGAAGGGTTCCATTACACTGGAGGTTAGTAGGAGAAGGGCCCCATTACACCAGAGGTTAGTAGGAGAAGGGCCCCATTACACTGGAGGTTAGTAGGAGAAGGGCCCCATTACCAGAGGTTAGTAGTAGAAGGGCCCCATTACACCGGAGGTTAGTAGGAGAAGGGCCCCATTACACCGGAGGTTAGTAGGAGAAGGGCCCCATTACACCGGAGGTTAGAAGGGCCCCATTACACCGGAGGTTAGTAGGAGAGAAGGGCCCCATTACACTGGTGATCAGTGGGAGAAGGGTTCCATTACACTGGTGATCAGTGGGAGAAGGGTTCCATTACACTGGAGGTTAGTAGGAGAAGGGCCCCATTACACCAGAGGTTAGTAGAAGGGCCCCATTACACCGGAGGTTAGTAGGAGAAGGGCCCCATTACACCAGAGGTTAGTAGAGAAGGGCCCCATTACACCAGGTTAGTAGAAGGGCCCCATTACACGGAGGTTAGTAGGAGAAGGGCCCCATTACACGGAGGTTAGTAGGAGAAGGGCCCCATTACACCGGAGGTTAGGAGAAGGGCCCCATTTACACCGGAGGTTAGTAGGAGAAGGGCCCCATTACACTGGTGATCAGTGGGAGAAGGGTTCCATTACACTGGAGGTTAGTAGGAGAAGGGCCCCATTACATCAGAGGTTAGTAGAAGGGCCCCATTACACCGGAGGTTAGTAGGAGAAGGGCCCCATTACACCAGAGGTTAGTAGAAGGGCCCCATTACACCGGAGGTTAGTAGGAGAAGGGCCCCATTACACAGGAGGTTAGTAGGAGAAGGGCCCCATTACACCGGAGGTTAGTAGAAGGGCCCCATTACACCGGAGGTTAGTAGGAGAAGGGCCCCATTACACTGGTGATCAGTGGGAGAAAGGGCCCCATTACACTGGAGGTTAGTAGGAGAAGGGCCCCATTACATCAGAGGTTAGTAGGAGAAGGGCCCCATTACACCAGAGGTTAGTAGAAGGGCCCCATTACACCAGAGGTTAGTAGAAGGGCCCCATTACACCGGAGGTTAGTAGGAGAAGGGCCCCATTACACCGGAGGTTAGTAGGAGAAGGGCCCCATTACACCGGAGGTTAGTAGGAGAAGGGCCCCATTACACCGGAGGTTAGTAGAAGGGCCCCGTTACACTGGAGGTCAGTGGGAAGAATGCGCCCTTACAGATCGCTAGAACAATAATTGATGATTGCCATCAGTGGTGACATATCCAAGCAGCAGACACTTCTCAGGGAACTACTAGCAACCTCTGGAGTAACCTTGGTTTAGAAAGACTGGTATAGAGGAAGACACGGAGCGCCCCCTGCTGCCCCACCCCAGACATGCACATAAGATACCATTCTATGGTCTGCAGCAGAAGTACATCGTTCAGAAAGATCTTTTCTAGTAAAACCTGCACCCAAGGTAATCCAAAATGTTTTCTCCAACCACTGAGCACTGCAAGATCTGGAAAAGTCTGGGGCTAACAAAAACAGAATTTCCTACTTTGGGGTGAGCATTTAAAATGGAACTTTAGTCAAATTAAATCCTGATAGAGGACTTTAGTCTGGCTCCTTTTGTAGGTATAGCTATGTAAAACATTAAAAATAATGTATCATTCTACTCTGCACATGCTCAGTTGCTCTTTATTTTTCAGCACTGTGCCAAAAATGTAGGTGTGGATCTGCTGACAGACTAAAGATTTACAGCTGCTCAGGGGGCTCTGGGCTTCAGCAAAATGGCCGCCTCCAGCAAAAAGAAAGAGGAGCAATAATGGAGGCAATTTACAGCACGCACTGATTTTGGTAGAATAACTATTAATATGGAATGGATGCTTCTTGCTAAAGAACATTATTTTGTATGAAGTTGATATGAGTAAAAGCTCTGCTTTAAACGGAAGAAAAGCCCAACAATAACGGTTTAATAGAAATGCTCCCTCCTCCTCCTCCTCCTGCTCCTCCTCGTACCTATCCTGCATGCCCGGTGTAAAAAAAGATCTGTATACGGTTTTTAATCTGCTCCAGTCCAGTCATGTGGTCCTGCAGCTCTGGATCCCCTGGGCAAGGAAGTGCTCAACAATGGCTGTGAATTTCCAGAGCTGGGAAGTCGACCATAGGCTCAAAATGTAGAAGAATTGTAAAAGGAAATCCCCCCCAAAAAAATCAACACAACTCCGCATGAACGTAACTTTTATTCAGCTCAACAAGAGATGTAGTTTAACAAATCAACCAAAATTGCTGTGTTTGTGAATTTCCCTGACCTGCACACACCTCTCTCCCAATGTGGAGACTGTCAGGAAACTTCAGGAACTTTTATTGTTGACAATAAAATAATCTGCATCTCTCTGCTACTGAAATGAACCCTTCCAGGCCTGATCATGTCGGAAATTCACTGGCTGTATGCAGATATTTTGAAATCTTATAATTTAAACAAGTCTAGATAAAGAACCAATATAAAACAGATAACCTACATATGTACAATGGGGCTGGGTTAGCTCCCCTTGGGGGGCTTCACGTGTTTCTTGCTGTGACTCTTCATACCCTGTAAGCACAGGTTTTCGTTTCACGCTCCCTTCTCCTTTTTTTTTTTTTTCAGAGGGTGCCCTGCCTAGACAAAGTACCCCTTGGGCACCCCCATACCTGTCAACACACAGCTTAGCAATTTCTAGATATCCCCTAAAATGACCTGGTGTATTGTACCTGCTTCTAGCTGCTCCACCTCCTCTATCCCTGACACTTCAATGCTAATGACTCTGCCGTCTTCTGCCTCCACTGGGAGGAGGTGGTACTCTGTCACAGAGGTCGCCTCCTCGGCCCCGCTGATCACAAAGTGGATTTGTGTCTCTTGTTCCGCTGGTAGAACCTGCCAAGTGTACTCCTCCGCCTGGGCCCCAACCACCGGCTCCTGCTCCTCAAAGTTCACCTGATCGCTCTGCAAATAAAGAAAAAAGACAAGGCAAATTTATTTTCACTTAATGGAAGCTATAGTGCAAGTTTTGCCCATTTAAGCACCTCACCCTCCTGGCCACTCTCACAGCAAGCCAGATGTCAGACAACAACCCCGGTTGAATCAGTCAAAAAGTTTAGAAATATTTGATGGAACACAGGAGACAACATTACATTATTTTTAAAAGACCAATTAGTAGAGGAAATTTCTTTAAGTATGCCAGTCTCAACCTAACTAGTCTTAAAGTGGTTTTTAAATACTAAAGGTTTTTAACCTACATGCATAAAAAACCTCCTGTGTGCTGTGCCCCCCCCTCCCCCAGACCCCTCTAATACTTTCCTGAGCCCGATCTCGATCCAGAGCTGTGCACTACAGCAAAGGCTCTCCTGGGTCTCAGGTCTCTCTCTCCCCATTGGCTGAGACATTGGCTGCCACTCACAGCCAGTGAGGAGGGGGGGGGGGCTGAGCTGCTCTCTGTGTGTCTTATAGACACAGAGCAGGGCTTGGGAGCGAGTATGCACAAGTGGCACTCAGGAGGGAGGAGGAGCCTGGAGCGCTGGTCGGTGGACACGACAGCAGGATCAGGACTGTTCTGAGCAAAGCCACTGCACAGTGCAGATAAGTAGAACATGTTTGTTTGTTTTTAAGAGCTTTAAATATCACTTTAAAAATGTCTCCTCCCCTTCCTAATACCTATGCTGCCTAACTTGTGTAAAAAAAAAAAAAAAAGAAGAAAAGAAAAGAAGGTGTATATATTTTCCTATTTTCAGCCCAGTCTAGTCATGTGATCCCCTATGTCAGCCAACAGCAGCTGCAGGGAAGAGAGCGCACTTGACAACGACTGGGATTGACGTGGTGGCATCACCCATAGGCTCCTATGTCACAGTCATTGTCAGCACTGCCTCCTCTCCCCTGCAGCCACTGCTGACTGACACAAAGCAGCCAAATCACGTGATCAGACAGGACTCAGCTGATAATAGCTAAGCAAATACATTTTTTTTTTTTATATAGCTTAGTCAGCATAGGTGTTAGGAGGGGGGAGGGGGCATTCTGAAGACTACTTAGGTTTGGGCTGGAATCCCACCTTAACATTCTCTTCTGCATCTCCAATATCAGAAATGCCCCATCTTAAAATTTAGACATAGTGCCTTGAATTGGCCAAATGTAACAGTTGCTCTGGTTTACAGCAACTGGATCTTTCATATTAGCAGTGCAGTATGGGGGAATGAAAGGCAGGATGTTCAACAAAGACAGGTGCTCTTCAGCCACTGTGGGTCTGGATCTCTGCCTCTCTTACCTGACTCTTCTCAGTGATTTTTCTCCTTTTTACCCTCGGGGCGATTGATTTGATGGGCTTTTCATTTCTGTGAGACTTCTGATGTTCACGGAGGACAAACCGTTCCCGAAACGTGGCGGGACAGAAACGGCACTTCAGCTCGGTCTCTGAGTGAGAATGCTGCTTCCGCAGGTGAATGTCTGTAACATAAGAGAACAGGTCACAAATAAATATGTGTGCCTAGATACACCGGCAGTATAAGTGGATTTACATTTTAAATCATTCCTATATAAAGCTGGTATTGTATGTATGTATGTATGTATGTATGTATGTATGTATTTTTTTGTATGGGCCATACCTTTTGGATCCCTGTGGAACTTGGAAATCACTATAGTAGATACGTCTACTACAATGATCTCCACTAGCTACCAATTGCAGAAATTGCATTGAAAAAATGCAAAGTGTTCTTCGAATTGCATCCAAGCGAGCAACCTCCAGTGTTCACAATGCAGCAGGACAGCTGCTCAGCTCAGGAATCAGTAGCTCGACTCCTTCCCAGACCTGACAATATGCCTTGGCAAAGGTATAGGATTCACTGCCCCCAATTCAGGGCTTGGGAGCAGCAAATCCTATATATTTGCCAAGGTATATTAATCGGGTCTGGGAAGGAGGCGAGTCAGCAATATACTCACTCAGGCTGTGCTTCCCGGTCAGGACGGTTTTACACAGAGGACAGTTTAATTTTGGAAGTTCTTTGGTGTGTTTTCGCTGGATGTGCATCAACATGCTGGTCTTCTGCGTGAACTTGGCCTCACATACACTGCATGTAAAAGGCTTCTCTCCTGAGAAAGGAAAAAGGAAGGGGGGGGGTAAATCAATAAGAATCAGCAAATGCTGGACAGAATATTATAGTGATCTGACACCATCCACTGTGATGGCAATTAAAGTAGATGAAAACCCAATCACTACCATCTCATGAGGTTTAACACATTCATGTAAAATTTTAGAAGTCACTTTCAGTACTTTTGCTTTCGTTCAAATTTCTGGTGATCCTTCAATGAAGGTCCTTGTCAGGTGCTTGCTGTTATACAGTGTCAACACTGAAGGAGACTTACTAAATTTAGAGGGTGCAAAATCTGGAGCAGCTCTGCATAGAAACCAATCAGCTTCCAGGTTTTGTCAAAGCTTAAAGCGGAGCTCCTCCCCAAAAGGGGAAGTTCCGCTTTAAGTATTTGTCCCCCACTCCCCATTAAGGATTGGAACTTTTGGGGAATGGGTACCCAATTTTGACAGGTACCCACTTCCGCTGCGATCGCCTAGGCGATCAGAAACGGAAGTTGTCCTCCTACCCTCCCTCCCCGTAGTCTTCTAGGACACAGAAGACTACGGGGCCATTCACAAAGCCCAGCGCTTCTCGCGCATGTGCAGTGGGCACCCGGCTGTAAATCTGCAAACTGTCACAGCCGGGTACCCACACTGAAGATGCCAGCACCAGGGAGAGAAGACCGCTGGTGAAACTAGCGGTGGTGAGGACACCGCTGGACCGAGGGACAGGTAAGTGTTTGTATTTTAAAAGTCAGCAGCTACAGTTTTTATAGCTGCCGACTTATTTTTTTTTTCCAGGTGGAACTCCGCTTTAACGGAACAAGCTGAAGTAAGAAGCTGATTGGCTGCCATGCACAACTGCACCAGATTCGGAGTGCACCAGTTTTAATAACCCCCTACTGTGTCTCTCATCCCATTGCACCCCTGTGTTGTCACCCTGTTACATGGGCTCCTGATGGAGACTACAAGTGGCCATTTCCACAATAACTACAACAGAGGATTCATGTAGTATTTACTAACTAGAATTCATCAGCCTTTAGCTCAGGCTCACAGGCAGGAGGCTGTACTTAGTTGAGAAAACCCCTCCTCCCCCCTAATGATTCCTGGGATGTATTTCATAATTTGCCTAGGCCTGAAACAAGGAAGTAACTGAAGAAATGTAAACAAAAAAAAAAAAAGTATTAAACAAGCAAATATGATACAACTTCCTATCTATTTATTAATGCCAGCAGCATAAGGAATAGAAATAATATTGATTGAAAGAGTGAAGTTCCACTTTAATTATTCCTAATCCCAAAGGCCTGAAGGGATTACTATCCACACTTTACTCTTATTTATTAAAAACAGGAATGACTAAGTTAGTTTGTAAGTAATTTTTTGTCTGTGCCGATGTACCCGTCGTGTTTATTTGGCATACTGGATGAGGAGCTCTGGCCACATTACACAGGAATCGGTTGAGAGAAACTGTGTTCCTGGCTGGTAAAATGACAGCTATGGAGAGGATGCAACCCGCAGGGCTTTCACTATAGCTTATTATCTTTTTTATTAGAGTTGTTTATTTATATGCAATTACATTCAAACTGGCACATTGCATACTAACAGGTGTGTTAGCATAAAAAAAATACTTCACAAAACACACACACACCCATACACACCCCAATCGTTCCACACCGTCATATACAATTAAAGAAATCGTGTTTTCTACATGTGCCATCCAATGAATTCTCAGATTCCAGGAGGAGGAGAGGACATATTCCCATCGTTATCCTGCCCGGTTGGGCCACCTAGTGCATCAATCCACGGCTGCAGAATCTTATATAATTTTTGTGGACAGGCCCTACTATTGTGTAATATGTGAGTATTAGATCATCTAAGAGGCTCATTAGCTGGGGAAACCTCAGAGGAGGTGTACGCTTCCATTGTCCTTGCATAAAACAATATAGACTGAATTAGAATTTCCTGATTGCTGGTAAAAGTGATTGCTGAGGAATTCTTTTTTTATAAATAACAAGAATGTAATACTTACCTGCTATGTACAATGGTTTTGTGCACAGCAGCCTCGATCCTCCACTTCTCAGGTCCACCATCTGCGCTCCTAGCCCATCCCCCCTAGCAAGCCGATTTCTATGGGGGCACTCATGTGTGCTTGCTCGCTCCTTTAGTCAACTCTGTGTGTCCATTGACACAGATTTTGGCTCGTTCCCCCCCTACCCAATGCTCTCTCCTCACTGGCTGTGATTAACAGCAGCAGGAACCAATAGCTGCTTCTCTGTCCAATGAGGAGAGAGAGAATGCCAGGGAAGCTGCTGCTCTCGTACACATCCCTAGATTGAGAGTGGGCTCAGGTAAGTACTTACAGGGCACTGAGAAGGATCTGCGGACAGAAGGTTTCTTTATCTTAATGCACAGAATGCATTAAAGTAAGATACCTCCTGCCTTTAAAACCACTTTAAATCATAATTATCTACCAAACCAAGAAGACCAACCTCAAGAGGTTTTGGGTCCTTGTCTGCCAAGGAAGACCCATTTTTTTCTGCTGCAGTTCAGTAATATTTAAAGGTCTTGTCCCTCCCTCAGTCTGTCACTGGACAGTGAAGAGAGAAGCAACACTCTGCTCACTCATTTGTTTCAGTAAGCTCCTTGATAGCACATAGGCATAACAGCACAATTTATTGGCTCGGTGTGTTGCCTCCCCCAGTTTAACACCTTCCCGCCCAGTCTATAGCAGATTGATGGCCGCGCGGGACACTCGCCTTTGTGACTGGGGGTCATATGACGTCCTGTCAAAACGAGCTGCTAAAGCGGCCGCAGAGCAGCGCGATCTGTCACCAGCTGCGTCCACAGGACACAGCCGATGACATATCACTACACTGGCCCGTTGCCAGTGTCATGTGAGCAATCACAGCAGATCACATGTCAATTGTATGCAATGGATGGATTCCTGTCATGCCATCCATTGTATAGAATTATGTTTGTTAGCTGTGACTGGCCAAGGAAGTCACATGATACAGACAGGGCCAATCACAGCCCATCTGTATCATGTGATCAGCTTTGCCCAATCACAGCTAATCAGCAACAAGGATTGCAAATATCAATGAAATACATCGGTATTAGCAATCATAATGTGTTAAAAAAAAAAATAAAATCCTGATTACTTGCCCAGAGTAGTTCAATGTTACTATGGTAACATTGTATTGCTTTGGTCACTGTGTGCTGAAGAATAAAATAGTAAAAAAAAATAAAAAAATGTAATAAAAAAAAAATACAAATTCAATTATTATTATTATTTTCACCAAAGAAATGTAGCAGAATACATTTGGACCTAAAGTTATGAAGAAATGTTATTTATTTGCAAAATTTTAAAAAACAGAAACAAAGAAAAGTGCAGTTTCAGGTGTTTTTTTAATTTTATTTAGCAAAAAATAAACTCAGTGGTGTAAATACCATCAAAAGAAAGCTCTACTTGTGTGAAAAAAATGATTAACATTTTGTATGGGTACAGTGTTGCATGACTGCGCAATGGACATTCAAAGTGCGACAGCACTGAAGGCTGACAATTGGCCTGGGCAGGAAGGGGGTAAAAGTGCCCGGTATTGAGGTGGGTAAGCTCTATTGTGCAGGGACTGCAAAAGGCTAGCACACCTAAGGGCAAGAAGCTCTACCATGGAATGAACCCATCTGTACGCACCCTTGAAATTTTAGCAGTTATCAGCAAAACCCAACATCTGCTGATGTGTGTTGCCTCTCCCAGTCTAAGCTCTGCTGTGCAAGGAATGCAAGAGGCTAGAACACCAAAGGGCAAAAAGCTTGAGCAGGAAAATAACCCATCTGTACTCATCCTTGAAGGTTCAGCAGTTAGCAGCAGAATCTAACAGCTGCTGATGTTGTTTCTCAATCAGCAAGGTGGTACCACAAGCCAGCCACCCCATTTCCAACTGACCTGTGTGAGTTCTCTTATGCCTGGTCAGCTTGAAGGAATCTGTCGTGGAGAAGTTGCATTGTTCACAGTGGAATGGGCGGTCATCATTGTGGACCTGAATGTGAAGGATCAGCTCCAGGGCCTAGACACACAGAGGGAAGTAAGTTTTCTACCTAAGACAACTTTCCAGGATACGAATAACAGACCAGAATGAAAATCAACAATTAAAATCCTTTTCCAAATCTTCTACAATGGCTTATAGGATCACAGGGTTCGGGTTTAGCTAACCGACTCTAAAAGCCGACTTACCCCCGAAGACTCGTTTTCACAAAAAGGACACTTAAACATGTTCTCTGGCTTGTGCAATTTTTTATGTTTCAAGAGCTCCATGCCAGTGGAGAAAGCCTTGCCACAGTCTTTACACCGATGCAGCTTCACCTCTACAGGAGGAATAAATCAATTCAGAAGATGTTCACAAAAATGAAGTCGTCATCCATCAGTGTAAGTAAAAAAGGCTGAATATCCAGCGGTGAATGATTATTGTATGAGTACTTGGTGATGCTTACCAATCTGCTGCTCAGGGCTGATTGGCTGGATCCGTCTTCCTTTTATTGATGTCGGTAGAGGCGTGGAAGCCGCTTGGGGAATGAAGTTGGGGACGACACTCTAAGGAGAGAAAAAAAAAATGTAACAATTGTGTAATGATAGGAAAACCTGCTTCCAGGGCAGGATGGGCTGGGAGAAGGAAATCTCTGTTACTGTTTCACAGATGGCCTTTCCAATAGTATACAGTATCTCACAGAAGTGAGCCCCCCCCCCTCACATTTTTGTAAATATTTGATTCTATCTTTTCATGTGACAACACTGAAGAAATGACACTTTGCTATAACGTGATGTAGTCAGTGGACTGTAGGCAGTTGACGGCATGCTCTAGATAAAATGGAAGCACCAAGAACCGCGGTGCTAACAATGGACTTTAATGACCTCAGAGGAGGGGCATACTCCTAGATCCTACCCCAGAGATTGGAATCTTTAAAGTGGTTCTAAAGCCTCAAAGTTTTTCACCCTAATGAATTCTATGCATTAAGGTGAAAAAACTGTGTTGCAGGATCCCCCCGCCCCCCTTATTCTTACCTGAACCTGATCCAGTAATGTGTACGAGAGCGGTAGCTCTCGCTTCTGTCTCCTGACAGACTGATAATATCAATGAGAGCCATTGACTCCCATGGCTGTCAATCATATTCTGTGCTGAGCTAGCCGGGGGGGGGGGGGTTAAGCTGCACAGGGTGGCTCGGAAGCGAGCCCGCACGGGTGACCCCATAGAAAGCGGCTTTCCATGGGGGCACTCGCCGAAAAGGAGGAGCCTGGAGCACCAATGCACAGAGCAGGTAAGAGTAGCATGTTTGTTATTTTAGTAAAAATGCGACAATTTCATGTAGCTTTATATCATTTCACACAATGTGTCTTTATGTATGTCTAGACCAGGGGTAGGCAACCTGCGGCTCTCCAGCTGTTGCAGGACTACAAGTTCCATCATGCCTCTGCAAGTCATAGCTGTAACTGTCAGTTTTGTAATGTTGCAATGCCTAATGGGAAATATAGTTCCACAAACAGCTAGAGAGCCCCAGGTTGCCTACCCCTGGTCTAGACCTATAATCAGTTCCTTTCTTAACCCCTTCCCGCCGGCGCCTTTCGGCCCTTTAAGAGTTTCAGACGCTGGAAGGCGGGGCATGGTTTAAGGATCATGTGACCGCCGTGACGCGTCGTCACGGTGGTCACATGATCGGGAAAGGTCCCGATCGAAAGAACGGACCGGGACTTTTCTGTGAGTACCGCACATGTGTGCTGGGAGCGCACATGGCGCGCGCTCTCAGCACATGTTTTTTGTTACATGAATGCAAATGTGCGGCCGCTCAGCGTCTAGGCCCAGACGCCGGGGGGCCGCACATTTGTGTGTGCAGCCGGCGTGAAGGGGTTAAACCAGCCATAGATGTAACGATTTTCTTTCCTGCAACCCTTGGTTGCAAGACAGAAAAATCACTCGATTCTCCCATCAACACAGTCAGTGTTGATGTAGGAATCCCTCCTGCGGAGCCATTGTGTTCTCCCAGCAGGGTGAAAGGAAAAGCCGCCCCTGCCGGGAGAACACAGTGATTACTGCTAGCGGCTAGCAATAGTTGCATGTAAAATCCAACAGCCTGACCATACGCAGTTCGAATCTCGGCAAGTCCCTGCTGAACTGGTCGAGATTGGAACCACCTATGGCTGGCTTTAGGCTGAGAGGCACATGGCAATGTAAACACATGCCAAGCTCACAGGTCTGCTGTCTGACTGATCAAAGTGTGATCATTTTATTCTGAAAGCAGATGTAAAAAGCCCAAACAGCTGTTCACATTCCCTATGCCTTACCTGCTGTTCTGCAGTCTGCACAGCCTGATTAATAGCATCCAGTGTTAGGACTATGGGCTCGGAGGACTGTTGCTCCACAATGGGCTGAAGGACTTGAGCCAGATCTTGCACCTCATACACCTCGGTATGCACAGCATCAGTGTCCATCTGCTCTCCGCTCTGCACCACTATGGCCTGCACAATGCTGCCGTCCTCTGTCTGCATGGGAATGCTGTGCAGCTCCGTCACAGTGCTGGGCTGCTCCCCCTCCTGATAGTTTACAAACAACTGTGTCTCGCCTGTGGTCGGTACGATGTTCCAAGACACTCCATCTTCAGTGGTGGCGATCTCTGCTTCCTGCTCCTCCAACTCATAAGCCTGAAATGAAAAATACGTTAAAGCATAGATACTTACATTTAAAGTGTACGTCAAGCCAATGTTGTAATTATTTATTAATTTTGAAGAATATGAGGAAGTTTTTTGCTGTTAACCCTTACAGAGATTTTCCCTCACTTCCCGTCCTGATGACATTTTATCAGACAGGAAGTGAGGGGAACCCTGCAACAGCAACACGGACAGAAATAAAAATGTGTTTCTATAGCAGAGTAAGGGAAGGCTGTTTTTTTTCTGTTTGCTTGTTAACCCCTTGCCTACCGGGCACTTATACCCCTTTCCTGCCTACCGGGCACTTATACCCCCTTCCTGCCTACCGGGCACTTATACCCCCTTCCTGCCTACCGGGCACTTATACCCCCTTCCTGCCTACCGGGCACTTATAGCCCCTTCCTGCCTACCGGGCACTTATAGCCCCTTCCTGCCTACCTGGCACTTATAGCCCCTTCCTGCCTACCTGGCACTTATAGCCCCTTCCTGCCTACCGGCCACTTATAGCCCCTTCCTGCCTACCGGCCACTTATAGCCCCTTCCTGCCTACCGGCCACTTATAGCCCCTTCCTGCCTACCGGCCACTTATAGCCCCTTCCTGCCTACCGGCCACTTATAGCCCCTTCCTGCCTACCGGCCACTTATAGCCCCTTCCTGCCTACCGGCCACTTATAGCCCCTTCCTGCCTACCGGCCACTTATAGCCCCTTCCTGCCTACCGGCCACTTATACCCCCTTCCTGCCTACCGGCCACTTATAGCCCCTTCCTGCCTAACGGCCACTTATAGCCCCTTCCTGCCTAACGGCCACTTATAGCCCCTTCCTGCCTAACGGCCACTTATAGCCCCTTCCTGCCTACCGGCCACTTATAGCTCCTTCCTGCCTACCGGCCACTTATAGCCCCTTCCTGCCTACCGGCCACTTATAGCCCCTTCCTGCCTACCGGCCACTTATAGCCCCTTCCTGCCTACCGGCCACTTCTACCCCCTTCCTGCCTACCGGGCACTTCTACCCCCTTCCTGCCTACCTGGCACTTATAGCCCCTTCCTGCCTACCTGGCACTTATAGCCCCTTCCTGCCTACCGGCCACTTATAGCCCCTTCCTGCCTACCGGCCACTTCTACCCCCTTCCTGCCTACCGGGCACTTCTACCCCCCTTCCTGCCTACCTGGCACTTATAGCCCCCTCTTCCTGCCTACCTGGCACTTATAGCCCCCTTCCTGCCTACCTGGCACTTATACCCCCTTCCTGCCTACCTGGCACTTATAGCCCCTTCCTGCCTACCTGGCACTTATAGCCCCTTCCTGCCTACCTGGCACTTATAGCCCCTTCCTGCCTACCTGGCACTTATAGCCCCTTCCTGCCTACCTGGCACTTATAGCCCCTTCCTGCCTACCTGGCACTTATAGCCCCTTCCTGCCTACCTGGCACTTATAGCCCCTTCCTGCCTACCTGGCACTTATAGCCCCTTCCTGCCTACCTGGCACTTATAGCCCCTTCCTGCCTACCTGGCACTTATACCCCCTTCCTGCCTACCGGCCACTTATAGCCCCTTCCTGCCTACCGGCCACTTATAGCCCCTTCCTGCCTACCGGGCAGTTCTACCCCCTTCCTGCCTACCGGGCACTTATAGCCTCTTCCTGCCTACCGGGCACTTATAGCCCCTTCCTACCTACCTGGCACTTATAGCCTCTTCCTGCCTACCTGGCACTTATAGCCCCTTCCTGCCTACCGGGCACTTATAGCCCCCTCCTGCCTACCTGGCACTTATAGCCCCTTCCTGCCTACCTGGCACTTATAGCCCCTTCTTGCCTACCAGGCACTTATACCCCCATTCCTGCCTACCGGGCACTTATAGCCCCTTCCTGCCTACCTGGCACTTATAGCCCCTTCTTGCCTACGGGCACTTATACCCCCATTCCTGCCTACCGGGCACTTATAGCCCCTTCCTGCCTACCTGGCACTTATAGCCCCTTCTTGCCTACCGGGCACTTATACCCCCATTCCTGCCTACCGGGCACTTATAGCCCCTTCTTGCCTACCAGGCATTTATACCCCCATTCCTGCCCAGGTCAATTTTCAGCTTTCAGCGCTGTTGCACTTCGAACGAAAGTTGCACGGTCATGCAACACTGTACCCATATGAAATTTTTATAATTTTTTTCACACAATAGAGCTTTCCTTTGGTGGTATGTACTTGCCGCTGGGTGTTTTATTTTTTACACTATAAACAAAAAAAAGCAAAAAATTAGAAAGAAAAAAAAAAGTTTTTCTTTGTTTCTATTATAAAATTTTGCAAACAGGTAATATTTCTCCTTCACTGATGTGCGTTGATGAGGTGGCACTGAAAGGCAGCACTGGTGAGCACTGATGAGGTGGCACGGATAGGAGGCACTGATAGGTGGCATTGATAGGCAGCACTGATGATGCTGTACTGATGGGCAGCACTACTAGGCACAGGTGGGCGGCCCTGATGATCGGTGCCGACCACTTCTCTGACAATTGCCGGTTACCGGCAGTACTTTCCTCATACTGTGACAGCGTGAAGAACCAATAACTGGCAACTGTATTTACCTGGTGATCTGCTGTGTCATTGGACACAGCTGACCACGTGGTAAAAGGCCGCTGTGATTGGCTGTTTACCATATCACGTGATAAGCTGTGTACATAGGACACAGCGGTCACCGGCGGCGCCAGGTGGTTGCCGCTGGGGGCGTGTTTTGGAATGACATCGTCCCAGAACTAGACAACTGCACTGTAGCCATAGTGGCCATAGCGCGGTAGGGAAGAAGTTCAATATTTTCCACTCTAATATGCACAGATCAGCACACAACTATCCTTCAATAGATCGCTGATCTGTGCATATTAGACTGTGGGGGTGTTTTTGTTTTCAGCTGCACACTATTAGAATGTTGGGTGCTTGTGGCAAATCAGAAAATATTTTCCACTGTTTTCCATTTATTTTACACTGTTGTCACCGGGACAAGAAGTGAGGGGGAAATAACTCTAACCGAGCCCTACATAGCAGTCCAAACCAGACAACGGTGTAAACCTTCACCGCTCCATCCAGAGCCAGGAGAAGTTTTTTTGGTTTAACATACACTTGAAATAGATTCTTCAACAGCCACACGTTGTAGAAATCTATCTGATGTGCACCAAATGCCTTTGCAAAGCAGATGTTACCTTGGTGACACCAATACATTCCCCAGAAGTGTGAGAGGGACCCCACCAGCTCCCTACCACCGCAGGTGGCAAGCCTGAGCGGCGTCTGCCCGCGCAGGTGGCAAGCCTGAGCGACGTCTGCCCGCGCAGGTGGCAAGCCTGAGCGACGTCTGCCCGTGCAGCTGGCAAGCCTGAGCGACGTCTGCCCGCGCAGGTGGCAAGCCTGAGCGGCGTCTGCCCGCGCAGCTGGCAAGCCTGAGCGACGTCCGCCCGCGCAGCTGGCAAGCCTGAGCGACGTCCGCCCGCGCAGCTGGCAAGCCTGAGCGACGTCCGCCCGCGCAGGTGGCAAGCCTGAGCGACGTCCGCGTCCCCGCGCAGGTGGCAAGCCTGAGCGACGTCCCGCGCAGGTGGCAAGCCTGAGCGACCGCGCAGGTGGCAAGCCTGAGCGACGTCTACCCCGCGCAGGTGGCAAGCCTGAGCGATGTCTGCCCGTGCAGGTGGCAAGCCTGACGTCAGGTATCTACATAGTGACAACTTCCAAAGCTCTCACCTGCATGTTTTGTTTGTTGGATTTCAGCTCGATTGCCTTTCGGCTTCTGTGATTCTCCTGATGTTGCCGGTAGAGGTAGCGCTCGTGAAACTCCTCAGAGCAGATGCGGCACCTGATAGGAACCTCCAAGTAGGTGTGCTGCTTGCGGATATGAACCTCTGCAAAGTGATATTAAAGGGCAATTTCAGCAAACCCACAAATGATGTACAAAGACAAGCTGTGGACAGCTTTATATTCAAACTGCAGATAACGAAGGTGCCCATTGCCTCCTAATGGCTACATGCAGACACAATTATGGGGTTGATTTACTAAAACTGGAGCACTTAGAATCTGGTGCAGCTGTGCATGGCAGCCAATCAGCTTCTAACCTCAGCTTGTTCAATGAAGCTTTGACAATAAAACCTGGAAGCTGATTGGTTTCTATGCAGAGCTGCTTCAGATTTTGCATTCTCCAGTGTTAGTAAATCTCTCCCTATGTGTCTGTGTTCTAGTTCTAGGACTTTTTCACTTCTTCACAACACCACGGTATAAGGCAGCATCCCCTTTTTCATAAAAACCATTTCTGCACACAGAATCAGTAATAGTACTTACTTACGTCATTCTTCCCAAACAGAACCGCATTACAGATGGTACATTGCTCCTTCTGCACATTATCAGTATGTTTTCTTAAGACATGCATCTTCAGGCTGGCGTTCTGCGTGAATTGGGCCTGGCACACATTGCACGTGTATGGCTTCTCACCTGAAGCACAAGAAATTGTTACATGGAACAGAGGCCCTAGTGAAAGTCTACCTGACCAAAGGGGACTGGGGGAACAGCGGGCCAAAGCAGACTTTAAAGTGTTACTAAACCCACAACAGTACAATCAGTCTGTAGATGCAGTAAAGCGTGCTTGTTATACTCACTGCGGAACCTAAGGGGTTAATTCTCTGCACTGTGTAAAAATGCGGTTTGATCCTTTCTTCTCTGTTCCTCCCCTTTTTCAAGTGACCACCACTTATCTCCAGACTGAACCGTAGGCATGCACATGCTCAGTTTGGGATGTATTGCTAGAGAGGTTTTTTTTTTTCCTTGGGAATGCACATGTGATCAGCACAGGGCCAATCAGCACTGTCCAGACAGAGGTCAGGGGATCTGAATCCTCATAGAGCAGAAAGATAACTCCTCCTACAAGCTTCTGCATAGTTTAAAAAAGGCTTTTTGATCAATGTCTTCTCTGATCCTCCCCTTCTACTTTCCCCAATCCATCTGCTGATAGAATAGAGCCTTGGGGGTAAGCTGCACACGCTCAGTTTGGTGTATATTGCTAGAGATTTTTCTTTGGAGAGTGCATGTGATCAGCACAGGACCAAGCCTGATAGTGGGTAAGGGATTATGCAGCCTCCTAGGACAGTCAGGAGAGAATGAAAACTCCCCTTAAAACTGTAACCAGTGCTCTGTCGGGGACACTGATAGAAGATATAATGAATGCAGGGTCCTGGGTTTAGTAACACTTTGAATACAAAATGATGGAAACAGAAAAAAATCTATCGATCTCACGGGCACTTGCTTGCGCTCGTCCTCTATATACACACAGACATATATGCACATATATCACTCACACACAGGTCCATTGCCTGGTATAAATATATTCATTTCAATGAGTAGTTGGGAGTCCCAAAACAACAATCAACTCTCTTATAGGATGAAGTATATTGATACCCCAACAGCTGGGGATTTAAAAACAAACTGGGCACCCCTGCCAGCTGTACCTAAACTCGAAAAAAGAAATAAAAGACTTACAGGCTACACAAACTGGGGTCCCTCAATCGTCCACAGTGCTTCCCAGTCCCCTGCAGACCCCTGTATTACACAGCTGCCCTTCGCCACCTCCAGCCCTCATCCCCCACAGTGCCACCAAGTCTGCTTCAGTGTCCCCTAATTCCCCCCTTCAGAAATCCCATCCCCCACAGTGATATCCTATACCACATGTGTACACAAGGCCTTCAGACTGAATCCAGCCCGCCAGGCCATTTCATGTGGCCCTTCGCACCTCTTCTGCAGCTGCGGAACCCCCGTCTCCACCCCCAGCTTGTCTCTCAGCAATCTACAGTAGAGAGGATGACAGAACTCCTCCTACAGATCCTATGTCCCTCTGAGAAGCCTCAGCACCCTCTGGACTCCACCTCCCCTGGTACTGGCATTCAGCAGACGCAGCTGATTCCAGCCCTCCTCCAGACTCTGCAATTTCTGCTTCCCAGCTTCTTCCTGGCAACAGCACAAGGTAAGGGGGGTGCACTGTGGTGTATGGGAGGAGGGGGGACTCTTGACTTCTGATGGTGGGGGCTTCTTGACATTGGATTTAAAGTGGTTCTAAAGGCTCAAGATTTTTTTACCTTCATGCATTGTATTGTAAAAAACCTTCTGCGTGCAGCACACTCCCCCCCCCCCCCTCAATCCTTACCTGAGCCCCCTCCGGTCCAGAGATGTTCTCGACAGCCTCTACTGCATGGGGACTCTTCCTCCTCATTGGCTGAGACAGCAACGGGAACCCATTGGCTCCCGCTGCTGTCAATTACAATCACAGTCAATCACAACCGCAGGGGATGCTGAGCCGTGGCTCTATGTGTCTTATGGACGCATAGAGCAGCAGCTCACTGACGAGCACGCAGAGGTGCCCCCAGGGTGAGTGGCCCTCCCTGGGGGGCACTACTCGAGGAGGAAGAGCCAGGAGCGATGGAGGTGACCCGAAAAGAAGAGGATTGGGGCTGCTCTGTTTAAAATCCCTGCACAGAACAGATAAGTATAGACATGTTTGTTATTTAAAAAAAAAAAACAAGCTTTAGTGTCACTTTAAGTAGGGGGGGAGGGGATGCTCTGGACATCTAGACTTACAGATACAACCGGCCCTTTGAGGGTGACCATAATGCTGATGACTTTGACTCCCTTGCCCTATACCATCCAGAGTCCCTAGCACTGATGTCAATGTCACGGCATCTTTTCCCCCGTTCATCGGTAACACCAGAGCATTCGTTCTTCCTCCTACTAATCACTGAACACCATATTTTGCATTCCCACATTTTATTGTATAAACACAAACTTTTTTTTTCTTTTTTTGTTTTACTGTTGGGGCATGGAAGGTTTTGAAAGAATTTTCCAGGTTGTGGTCTTTTACCAAGACTGAGAATCACTGATCTAACCCATGTCATGTGTAGCTCTGACCCACAACACAGGTAACACATCAACAGGCAGTAAGCGGTACGACACACCACGATGAAAAGCCTCCGCCTTCCCCGGCACTCACAGACCTGTATGTGTCCTCAGGTGCCTTCGCAGTTTGAAAGCGTCTGTGGTCGCAAACGAGCACTCTCTACACGCAAAAGGCCGCTCCCCAGTGTGAGATCGGATGTGAATCTTCATCCTATTTGCCTGAAGGCAAGAACACAACAAGTTCATCATTTCGCCATTACTGACTTACTATGCCTTACTCTGCACTGTCTGTGTGGAGGCGGCCATATCTTGGTATAAAGGCATGGTTTTTCTTCCTTACATCAGTGCTAACCCCCCCCCCAATGACTAGTGGGGGAACAGTAATGCAGCAGAAGCAGCAGCAGAGGTGGAGGAAGAACAGATCCACGGAACAGGTAAAGCAAAAGCAGAAAGATCTTCGTGCTGCCTTAGGCACAGCTTCCTCTCCAGCAAGGAGAACTGTGAGCAGCATGGTAGTGACATCACTAAATCTCATTTCCAAAACAGGTGAGCCCAGCAGTCAGAGACAGCAGTGCCTTAGATGATCTCACACTGCAGATATAGCTATGAGGCTATGAGGGTACAGAACAGGAGTACCTAGGCACAGAAGTGCTCTGCTAGTCCTAAGGAGAAATTACAGATGGAGATTTTTCGGGGTACTGTTTAGGTAAATGTAAATTTCTAAATGTTTACCTGTTAACATGTTTATGTTATGTTTATGTCAAAATGGTAGATGCCGCACTGTTACTAATTCATACAGCATCATGCCCCCAGCTGGCCACTATGAACACAAAATGTATGAGGTGCACTTAGTTTTGTGTCAGCAATTTTTGGAAAGACTTCCTCAGGCCATATAATCAAAGTCCTTAATAAATAAGAAGCATTGCTAAGATCAAAAAGCAGAATGGCATGTAGGCTAAGTGAACCTGTGTGGGGTGAGGTGATGGCAGATGCCTGATATTTATACATATCGAGGAAATAAAGCAGGAAGTCATACCTCCACGCTTGAATAATCGCAGTAGCAGCATTTGAAGGGTTTCTCAAGTGTATGTACGGATCTAGTATGGCGCAGGAGGTCGGACGCCGTTCTGTAAGCCATGCCACAGTCGTTACATTTGTGCGGGCGGATCCCTACAACATACACAACATTGAATTACCATCAAAACTGACCATACAAGACTGCACCCAATGTCCATCCTCATGGCACCCCAACAGGCCACACTGAAGGCAGCACAAACCACAAACACATCCTTTGTATTGCCTTCTAGACTCCTCTGCACCACATAGGATATATCTAACTAGCTATTATACATAAGAGACATTTTGCTCAGATTTTTTAATGGGGATGCAAAATATATTTCAAAACCGCTTAAAAACACCAAAGTTGAGGCCGTGGTGGAAGTATTCTGCCTTTTAAAGATCTGAGGTTGCAGTGTTTCCTGAGAATGTGGGTGGAGCTACGCTCTCTCCGGGTGCTGTCCTGAAAGACGTTTGGGGAAATTAACACAAAACAGATTAGGAGAGAACCGTTTCCCTTTCTTACCTGTGTGAGCGCTGACATGGAGCCGCAGTTCTCTAGCGCTGGAAAACGCCTTCTCGCAAATGTGGCACTTGTGTTTGTCAGAATGTCTGCGCAGGTGGCGCCTCATAGCCGAAAGCATTAAGGAGCTGAACTGGCACTGCCCGCAGCGGTACAGAGTCTTCAGTTCTGGAAAGAGAACAAAGAATTACTGGACAGGGGATAAAACATTCACTGACAAAATATTCTTCTTCTCCATGGCTTCAGAAATTGTCTTCCTGCGTAAAATTCTGGACAAGTCTGCTTGTGAAACAAATTTCATTGAGCTCACAAAAAAAAAAAAAAATAAGTCTTTGCTGGATATGAAGTCTGATGTGAGAGCATTGAAGGTCACGTTCACATTTGGGAACACGTTCCACCTGTTTTCAGGGTGAAACATGTAATATGTTCCCAATGCTGCAGCCGCTGCCCCCTCCCTCCCTGTGACAGAAGTATTGGGAGAAGTTCCCATACAAGCTGTCACTTTATAAAAACAAGGCAGCCATACGTGGCTCCAACAACACGGCCGCATCACTCATTCAGTGTTCTGTGAAGGAATGAAGTACAAGTCCTGACAGCCTTTGCGGCTGTCGGCTTGTAGCTTTCAATGAACTACCACGGCACTGTGGAGCACCATGGTAGTTCATTGAATCTTCCTGTCAGTACATCTACTTGCCCGTACAGGGGTTTTGTTAGGAGGATTTGTGCTGGAGGGAGAATTGGGGACAGGAGTCACGGTTTACGGCACAGAGCTCTGAAGGGTTGGCATGCGTACGCCGTCCCTTCAGAGCGCATACGCTGCTGACATCTCTGGCTCCAGTGTGACTTTCTCCTAAACATTGCAAATTTAGGAGATATTTGTTGTACCTACAAGTAGGCCTTAGTATAAAAAAGGAGTTTACTACCCACCTTAAGAGGATTTTGTGCTGGGGTGATTTGGGAGGGAAGAGGATTTGTGCTATTAGCAGATATTTTCCTAGTATGCATCCTATATATAACATTTGTACTGTATATTCTGGTAGAAGGTACTTAGGTAGTACGCTCCCTAACGGGCTGGGGGCGCAATACTTGCCTTTCCCCTGGCGCTGGCAACCTATGATATGCCACTTCCTAGTGCAGTTACACCTAGGGGGTGTGCAGCGGCCACAGCAGCGGTGGGGTAGTGGAAATTAAAGCGGAGTTCCACTCACTCTGTAAAAAAATAAATGTCAGCAGCAAAAAAAACTGTAGCTGCTGACTTTTAAAAAAACAGCCACTTACCTGTTTCACGATCCTGCCACAGCCCGTTTTTTACCGGTCGTCCAGTATTCCAGGCACCGGCATTTTCAGTGTGGGCACCTGGCTGTGACAGCTTGCAGCTTTGCAGCCGGGTGCCCACTGCACATGCGCGAGTAGAACTGCGCTTCCTGAATGGCCCTGTCGTCTTCTGGGACCTGTCACGTGTCCCACAAGTCTACGGGGGAGGGAGGGTAGGAGGACAACTTCCGCTTCCGATCGCCTAGGCGATCGCAGAGGAAGTGGGAGCGGGTACCTGTCAATTTCGGGTACCTGCTCCCCAAAGGTGTCAATCCTTACTGGGGAGTGGGGGAACAATCTTCCCCTTTTGGGTGGAACTCCGCTTTAAGGCAAGTACAGGTACTGGAAGGTGCCTAGAGCAGGATTGGATCTCATTTTGTTAAAGTGACAAGAGCTATAAGGCACCCCAAGCGATCCCAAACAAGCATCAACTAGAAACACAAATAAGGATTTTTTTGGAACTCGAGACACAACACAATAAGACCGCCTTCCCATAGCTCACTAGTGACCTGCACTACTTTATGGGATGTCATGCGAACATGCCTCTACGTGATTTTGTCCATTCTGCCGGCCCTTTGGGAGCACACAGCGGAGATGTAGTGATCAAATTAAATAAAAATTCATCTACATTTTGTGGTCACTACAGAAAAGTCATACCTTGCTTCTCTAAGCCTGCAGACGGTTGTGGGGTCGGCTCATTCTGCTCAGGAATGTCCTCCGATGCAGCTTCACATATCTGTGAGTTGTCAGGCACATCTTGCAACTCCTATCGGGAAAAATGTAACCTTTACAGCATCAGCAACAAGGTAGTGCTTTCTTGTTACATATATATACATATATATATATATATATATATATTTTATATATTAGTCATCCATCTCCACGCTTACATACTGGCATTACAGATTTAAAGCCTAACTTCAGGCAGGATTACCTTCACTGGTTTCCAGCAGGCAAACATTCAGGTCATGCCAGGAAGGCATGGCAGGCTGCTGCAGATGCATGCACTTCATACCTTTTCCAGTTTGTTCCCTGTCTCTCCCCGGCACCTTGATCATATCAGTGTGTTTCCTGTCATCATTCCGGAGCAGAAGCCACTCATTGATCGCACTTCCTGCAGGCAAGCACCCTCATTCTTTAGGAGGACAAGCATACTGTGACAGCATAAAGAGCTGACCGCACTCCATCGATGTAACAGATAAAATGTCCATTTATTAAAACTTCAAATAAAAGCCATAAAGATGACAACCCCAATACGGGAACAAAGGAAAGTAGTTAACGCGTTTCACACGGAAAACCAGTTATGATTAAAGTGTCACACTTGCTGCTGACTTTTAATAAACGCCCACTTACCTGTCCCAGAGTCCAGCAATGTGCTCATCCGTGTCTTCCCTTCTCTGCCTCTTCTCTCCTCAGCACTGGCATCACAACTGTGGGCACCAGGCTGTGACAGCTTGCGGCTTCACATCCGGGTGCCCACTTAGCATGCGTGAGTCGCACTGCACATTCTGATTGGTCCGGTAGTCTTCTGGGACCTGTGAAGGTTCCCAGGAGACTGCAGAAGGAAGGAGGGGGATGAACTTCCAGCTCACATCGCCACGACTAACTGAGCCGGAAGTGGAAGCCTGTCAAAACCAGTAAACCCACTCCCCCCAAAAAGGTGACAAATATGGCAATGGAGGGGGGGAGGAGCCAAGCAAGCGGAGCTTCCACTTTTAAGTGGAACTCCGCTTGTAACTATTTTCCTTTGTTCCTGTATTGGAGTTCTGATCTTTATGGCTTTTATTTGAAGATTTAATAAATTAGATTGTAAGCTCCTTAGATTGTAAGCTCCCAGGATCAGGGCCCTCCTATCCCTCTTGTATTGAACTGTATTGTTGCTGTATTGTCTCCCGTTATATTGTAAAGCGCTGAGCAAACTGTTGGCGCCATAAATCCTGTATAATAATAATAAATGGACATTTTATCTGTTAAATCGATGGAGTGCAATCAGCTCTTGATGCTTTCACTAACTGCCGCGGTCACGGATCAGACCAGCACCTGCTGATGTGCAAAGGGGCGGATGTCTCACTTGCTCACCTTGAGCAGTTTTTCCCATTTTCCTCCTATGTCCTGCAAATCAGTTTACATGCCAGATGAAGTCCAGCTCCTGATGTACTTCCTGGCTGCTCCAACTTGAAGTGCTGCAGGCCTCCATCCTCTCTCTACTCCAAAGGCATTAAAAAAAAAAATGAAGCCTTGGGCTGTGCGTTGTGTTGTGGTAGGAAGCACAGGGGAACAGCAAGGCAACGGTCGATCTGGTGTCCATGAGACTTGCCACTCACACAGCCAGGAAGGAGGACAGAAGCGGCACTTCCTTCAGCATGTGAAACTAACAGACTTGCATCACGTAGATCATGATCAGGAGGGGATACGAAACACTAATCAGCCAGTTTGTATGCAACCACTGCATGGAGTGCAGCTGCATCCTGAGGTGATCTCTAGCCGCCTCAGAATGCAGCAGACGATCTGTTCCTAGCCAAAGACAAAAAAAAATCAGCGCAGATTCCCCAAAAACTGATGCCAAGAGACAAATACATAATAAAGTACAATATTAGTAAGTTCAGAGAGCACTAGGGCAAGCTCTGGAGGCTGCAGCAGGCTCTGGGTGAAGGCACAAAGGAAGAAGGAAAGCGCCTCTAAGTGCAGCATCTATCTAGCTATCCATTCAGTCATATCTGACCCTTGGTGATTGCATGGACCGTCTCTCGTAAGCAACGTTTGGTACTTGTCTGGTAATTCACCAGATTTATTTATTTATTTATTTATTATATATATATATATATATATATATATATATATATATATATTTTTTTATATTTAAATATATATTTTTTTTTTAACCCCTTTTTTTTAATGTTTTGAAACCTTTTACTTCCGATATCTATGTCTTAAGTAACGATCGCTGATCACCATATATGAGACGTCATAAATCTGGTGAAATTAACAGACAAGTACCCAACTTTTTCCATGAATGCATCTCTTAGCAATTTATTTTACAGGGTAGGTTAGGTTGCCAGGTCTTTCCCCAACCCCCACCATGCAGGAGATCCCACACGGCCAGGGATGAAACTAGGACAATTTTTTTAGACAGGAGCCAATTAACCTACCAGCATGTCTTTGGAGTGTGGAAGGAAGCGGAGTACCCGGAGGAAACCGACGCAAATACAGGGAGAACATGCAAACTCCATGCATGAGGTGCCATGGTTGGGAATTGAACCCATGACCCAATTACTGCAAGGCAGAAGTGCTAACCACTAAGCCCCTGTGCTGCCCCAAGTGCAGTATAAAAGACGTTTATGCAGGAACAATGGAAAAACAATGGAAAAGGTTAAGGAAACTTGTTGATATAATGGAGTGTCAAATTTGATACTCCATTATACCCTTTAGCCATGTGAGTGTTTTTACATTGTTCCTGAATAGACGTCCTTTATACTGCACTTCCTGGCTGTGTGTGTGAATGGGGCCTTGAGGTTTGCTCATACTTGCACTGGCCTCTGAGGAGCGATCTGTGTTGGCAGTTGACGGGTGGCGAGGAGGCGTAGTATTGCTGACAACCTACATATGGTCTCCTCACCGCCTGCTTTCAAGCCTACACTGGCACACCGCAACCACAGGCAGTTCAGTTGTGGGGTGCTTGCAGTGCAGCCCTGTTTGATTGAGCAAGTCGTGTTCAGCAAGCGCTACACCCGCTAAAAGTGACAGGGGGTGCAATTCCTGTTGTAGCCATGAAGCAAAGCACTGCAACATGTGTACACCCCCTCTGCAGCTAACAGATGTAGTAGTTAAGGGGTGGTAAAAGCGCAGCTCAACCACGGGGTTTTAACCCCTCCATAACTGCTAGAGCCCTCAGTGATGACATGGATGCGTTATCCTGGCAGCTAACCTACCTGCACAGCCTCGGCCTGGCCGGGGTCATCCGCTGGGGTCACGCTAGGCTCGGGCAGCGGTTGCTCGGCCTGCGAGTCTTCCCCCTCGTTGTGGAACTCGATGAGCTGGGTGGGCAGGAGACTCTGTCCGCCTTCCTCCCCTCTCTGTATGCCGGTCACCTGGACCCCGACGATGGAGCCGTCCGCCGCCTGCACCGGCACCATGTGGTACTCGGAGACGTTGCTGAAGGCCTCATTCCCATCCAGCATCTTGTAGACGTGGAAGGCCAGCTCGGCCTCGCTGCGGTCCGGGTCCGTCACACACAGGACCTCCGTCTGCAGGGCCTTGGCCAGGATCCCTTCGCCGTGCATCTCCATGGCGACCGCGCCTGATGACAGAAACAATACAATGGATCAGTGACATGGAAACCATGGCAACGGTAGACACTGACGTCCCCCAAACACAGTGTATTTCTCTATAGTACAGCACCCCCCCAGGAGCACGTGAGGCCACCATCAAGACCTCCTGTCAGGATATGAGGTCAGTGGACCCGTCCCGGAGATTAGCTCAGATTAGCTGTACCCGGTACTGAGTCTTCCTGCCCCCCGGGTGTCCCCATACACTAATTCCCCGGGTGTCCCCATACACACCGAGCTACACTCATGTAAACATTCGGGGGAAGCACATCTCTGCAGCTCCACCCGGAAGTCCTCCCTACTTCCTGTCAGAGGTGGGGCGGGGACTTCACAGCGGGTCACGTGGCAGGACTGCCGGAGGAGACCAGGGAGTTCGGAGCATGCGCAATGGCGCTCAGCTGTCTGATCTGTTGATGGGAATTGAATGTGTGGGGGAGTGAGGGCGGCCTGTGCTGATAGGTACACCGGGATAGGAGGGGGCGGTAATCCTTCTAGCCTGTGATAGGTGGGGCATGCTGGGAGTTGTAGTCCTTACAGTCTTAGGAAGGGAATGCTGGGAGTTGTAGTCATTACAGAGTCTTAGGAAGGGTATGATGGGAGTTGTAGTCCTTACAGTCTTCGGAATGGCATGATGGGAGTTGTAGTCCTTACAGAGTCTTAAGGGCATGCTGGGAGTTGTAGTCCTTACAAAGTATTAGGAAGGGCACGCTGGGAATAGTAGTCCGTACTGAGTCTTAGGAAGGGTATGCTGGGAGTTGTAGTCCTTACAGTCTTAGAAGGAACTTGCTGGGAGTTGTAGTTCCTTCAAAGTCTTAGGAAAGGCATGCTGGGAGTTGTGGTCCCTCTGAACTCTTAGAAGGAACGTGCGGAAAGTTTTCGTTCCTCTAGAGGTTTATGAAGAGGATGCTGAGAGTTGTAGTCCCTAAAAAATTGCTGGGAGTTTTAGTTCCTCCAAAGTCTTAGGGAGGGCATGCTGGGAGTTGTAGTGCCTCCAGAGACATAGGAAGGGCATACTGGGAGTTGTAGTGCCTCCAGAGACATAGGAAGGGCATGCTGGGAGTTAAAGTGCCTCCAGAGACATAGGAAGGGCATGCTGGGAGTTAAAGTGCCTCCAGAGACATAGGAAGGGTATGCTGAGAGTTGTAGTCCTTACAAAGTCGTAGAAAGGGCATGCTAAGAGTTGTAGTCCTTACAAAATCTTAGGAAGGGTATGCTGGGATTGCAGTCCTTACAGAGTCTTAGAAGGAACTTGCTGGAGATGTAGTTTATTCAAAGTCTTAGGAAAGGCATGCTGGGAGTTGTAATCCCTCCAAAGACTTGGAAAGGGCAAGCTATGAGTTGTAGTGCCTCCAGAGGCAAAGGAAGGGCATGTTGGGAGTTGTCTCTAAAGAGGCATGGGAAGAGCACACTGAGAGTTGTAGTGCTCTAGAATCTTAGGAAGGGCATGCTAGGAGTTGTAGTCCCTCCAGAGTTTTCAGAAAGGCACGCTGGGAGTTGCATTCAGACCACAGACTTAGCTGGGGGTTACTGTGAATTGTAGTCCCTCCAGAGCCTTAGGAAGAGCACACCGGGCGTTGTAGTCCCTCCAGAGTCTTAGAAAGGACATGCTGGGAGGTGTAGTCCCTCCCGAGTCTCAGGAAGGGCACATTGGGTGTTGCAGTCCCTATAGAGTCTTAGGATGGGCATGCTGGGAGTTGTAGTCCCTTCAGGGTCTTAGGAAGAACACGCTGGGCATTGTTGCCCCTCCAGAATCTGAGCATGCTGGGAGTTGTAGTCCCTCCAGTCTTAGAGCATGCTGGGAGCTTTAATCCTTCCAGAGTCTTAGAGCAGTCTGGAAGTTGTAGTCCCTCCAGATTCTGAGCATTCTGGGAGTTGTAGTTCCTCCAGAGTCTTAGAGCATGCTGGGAGTTGTAGTCCCTCCAGAGTCTTAGAGCATTTTGGGAGTTGTAGTCCCTCCAGAGTTTTAGAGCATTCTGGGAGCTGTAGTTCCTCCAGAGCCTGAGCATTCTTGTAGTCCCTCCAGAGTCTTAGACCACACTGAGAGTTGTAGTCCCTCCAGAGTCTTAGAGCATGCTGGGAGTTGTAGTCCCTCCAGAGTGTTAGGAAAGGCACACTAGGAATTTTAGTCCTCTAGAATCCTAGGAAGGGAATGCTGGGAGTTGAAGTCCCTCCGGGGCCTGAAATATGGTACATTTGGGATTGTAATCCTTCCAGCCTCCTAAGAAGGGCCTGCTGGGAGGTGAAGCCCACTCCTCTCATCTCTGTTCTCAGCCAAACCGTAAGGAATTTAACACTTGTTATACTGTCTTGCATTCTTTTTAGCCTTCCTAATGTTCCTGTGTACATGTAATCAATATTCCTAAAAGCATATAACAAGTATTCTTGAGGTATATATAGTTACATTTGAGTTTTATTTGGGGAAAAAAAAAAAATCTTTCTTCTTTTCCCCCACTAGATGGTGACAGCGCAGCACCTGTGTTATGAAATGGACATACAGAAGATCAGACTGCGACACCCTTCTTCATGTTCTGTTCCTGTGTCAGAGAATGGGCAGAACTCAGCATTCGTTCTAATGGTCGCCATGGTCAGGGCTTTTGTGCTTTTGCTTTGTATGGGACTGGAGGTGAACAAGTCCCAAGAGAACTGAACAAAGGTACTTGTGAAGCTGAGGACTCCTAGTGGGGGAGATTTAAGAAAACTGTGCATAGTAACCAATCAGCTTTTCACCCCGTTCCATTAACCTGGAAGTTGACTGGTTTCTATACAGCGCTGAATGTGATTTTTAGCCATGCTGTATTAGTCGCTAGTCCCCCATAGCAAGAAACAAAACTATCTAGTCCTGATTGGTGAGTATGAGAATTCATGTGCTTTCCTCATCATAGGTCCATTTATATTCTCATCTTGATAAGTGATGGGTATGGACAGTGGCAGGGCTGCTGTTAGAAACCACGGGGTCCCATACAGCAAACCTAACAGGATCCCCCTCAAAAAAAAAAAATAATAGTTAACTATGCTTCTGTTGTGAATCACCACAGTGAGTGATCAGCACCAATCACTCATTGTATCTATTCAGGCAAGGAAGGGGCTGGTTACTGTACTATATTTACCCCCACTCTCAATCCTGAAGGATTCTATTGTGTGCGTGCAGCTGCCGGTGGGAAGCAGGCACTCTAGGGTCCCAGGCAGCTGGGTGAATCAAATGTGTACAGGGAAGGTGATCGGCTTGGTGGGTGGGGGGGCGGGGCAATTACCGCAACTGATCCTGTGTATGATTCTCTCTGCAGCAGCTGAAAACCAGCAGGAGGGAGAGGAGAAGAATCCAGCTTTCAGATACTGCAGAGAAAGCCATACAGAACATCAGTTCCAGTAATTGCCCCCCACCCTGCCAATCACACTCCCTGCCCACATCCAATTCACCCTGCTTCCTGGGCCCCATACAAGAGGGCTGGTGGTACCTCCTTATCCACAGCCCTGGATTGGGGAGAAAAAAGGAGACACGATAACCAATACTCATTTTCTTTCCTGACCTATGACCCTTAGGAGCATCTGTGGGTATAGGATTATAACTTTTTTTAATGCTTGAATCAGATGGATTTGGTTTTTTTTTTCAGCCAGACTATCTACATAATACAGGTATGATGTCACGAAGCACCATTTCCTACCCATTGTGTAGAATAAACAGAAATAAAAAGGATTGTGACCTTTATCCTCCACAACGTATTTATTTCTCATTATTCCTTATTAGGAACTTTTCTTTATAGTGCACTGTTTGTTTCTTATTGACCCGAGAATGTATGTGTATGGAGATCAGAACCTCAGTATGAAAGCTCCTAGGGGCAGGGACTAATGTACAATATATAAAGCACTGTCAATTGTTGTACTTGCAGTCATTTAGTGTCCTTGAAGTGAAATTACTTTTTTTTTTAAATTAAAATGTTATACTAATCTTTGTAAAATAGTTTTGCACAGAAAAGCAACGATTCCTCTTCTCAGGTCCTCCGACATGGCTATTAGCTTCTCCCCCATCCAATGCCTACATAGAAAGTCTTCACCATAGGAGCACTTGTGCGGACTTGGACCCAAAGCTCCCTGTCAGCATTTGTTAACAGGCCCCCGCATCCTTGTCACTGAATTTGACAGGCGCTGGAGTAAATGGCTCCCACTGCCACCATTGTGCACAACATGTATCAAAATTGGGATAAGTTAGGTAATTTGGGTGGGGAGACAATCTGAGAGTAGTTTACCTTTATACATGAAAGTAAAAAACCTTGATACTTTAGCACCACTTTTTGTATTTATTACATTTCATATACTTTGTTTCTTCTAATAGGCATATCCTATAGAGATGTTTTTATGGCAGATATTGTGCAGAATCTAGATAATGGAATGGTTGCCAAATATTCATGTAATTTTTTATGGCTGGGGCATAGTAAAGAAGAATGAGCTATGGGGTTAAGGAACTACAACCTAAGTAAGGTATTAAAAGATTACCACACTTCACAGTAATTGGAACAAATGAAGACACAATAGTAGGTGGTGATCTATACTTGACTCAAGTACATTGGTGCTGTTGTCAGAAGTGTAATGGAGGTGTGTGTATATAGGGAGTGGTTGAGAGAAATGCAGCAATTACATATACAGACCAGGATTGTTACAGCTTCTTCAAATTAGAGAATTCCAACTCTGACAGGCTATTTAAAGTGGATATATCATACAACACCCTTGAAGGGAAATGTCATTATACTGGGACAATGCCTGCACCTGCAGGCATCATCATGCCGCTATCAAATTTTTAACCTGACTTCCATCAAACAGAATTTTGTAGAAAGGTGGCACTGTTCCCTGCCCAGAAACCCCCATCCAATTGGAGGTTCCAGGACCCCTGCATCCAGTGGCAATGATTCAACTACAAAGTGCTGATGTAATCAGTTACACTGTAGGCGAAGCCAGCGCTCCAGGGG